CTCTCTTAAAAAACAGCCATGATATTATTTCATAATAATTCACCTTTCTAATAATTCTTTAGAAAAAAAACCAATTATAATTAAAAACACTTTGGGATAATAATTGTTTTGTATTTTTTAAAATTATTTATTCAAAATATGTCGGCATTTTAGTTCCCCCCCCCTTTTTTTATAGAAAATAAGAAATTTGATAAAAAAAAAGATTTATGACAAAATTATCCATAATGTACTACGAATAACTGTCTCGTCCACGACGGAGGAAAATAAATCGAAATTATAATTTGCGAAAACATAAAATGTTTTTAATTTTTATTTTGAAATAAAATCTTTTATTTGAATTGAATCTCAACGTAACATGCAATATATAGTAGTGACGTCACTACCTTTAGAGGAAGATTGAGAGGGGGGGGGTATTCTCAGCAAACCAAAATTTAGTTTGAAGCACCTTACAAATATGTTATATTTAAGCAAAAACTTTTTCCCATTTTTTTAAAATTAAATATATATAAAAAGGACCGCCCTAAATATGATTAGTGCTTGTGATGCCCACTATTATACAGCGCGTATAATCATTTAATTTATATATCCATGTTAACTTGAGAAGAATATATTATAGTATAAAAAAACTGAAATTTATAAAATATTAAAAAGAAATTTAGCTCGTTTAACTGATAGTGTATTCAACAATGTGATTTATTATATAAAACCATAGGCGGGCCCAGGATTTCTCTAAAGGGGGAGGGGAGGAGTATTCGTTTGGTGTTTTTCCCATTAAATTTTATTGGTGAGCTAAGGCCACTTATTGTGGACTTTTGGCGGATTTACATTTTTAACTAATTTTGGCTTTTAAATCTAATACTTTATCCCTAAAAATTTCAAATTAATAGTCATTATTTTTAAAATTTTTAACGTTCACTTATGTTGCCTTTATATTATTGTTTATTATAGTGACATTTGTATGCAATTTTGGGGGAGATGTGGCTATTTACGAAAACATCTTCCGAGGGAAACCTTCCCCCCCCCCCATTCACTAAGTTTTCGTATGAAACTTAATTAGAATAGTTGTATTAATTTGGTTTATTAAGTCGTTTGTCTTCCAGTATAGATAATGTAAATTTCTAAGAGTGGACGCGTTCCTTTTAATATTTATCCTAAAACTTGTATGGCATTTTTTCAAAAAAAAAAAAGATTAAAATTACGAATAAAATTTATAACATTTATTAAAAATTAAATGTCATTTATGTATATATTTTTATAATTCTTCTATCACATTTTATATTAAAGAAAACTTATGAGGATGATATAGAAATGGAAAAACAAATAGATTGCTACCGTTTCCATAAAGGGAACTTTTATAAGCCCTAAGTTTAAAATAACTACCAATCAAACTAGATGTGCATTGTATTTTTTTAAAATCATCTTCAAACTCACGACTTCCAATAAAACTCACGGGTAAATCTTTATTTAATAGTGCCTCCCTCTCTATTGACAAACGTGTATATAGCGTGCCTAGTACTAAAAGAAGTAGTATGGGACAGATGTTTGACTTTCTCTTTTCTCAATTTTATATCCCATCTAAAGATATCAGTTTCGTATATAGGTCGGCTATTATTCCAGATTAATTTTTTTTGCACTCGATGAGATGTTTTACTTCGGTTAAATCAATCATATAGTCGTTTCATGGAACTAAATTTTAAAAAAAGACCCGACCAATAGAAATTTGGCATTTTTAAAACAAATTATTATTATTATTTACTCAAATTTGTTATAAAATTTTAAAATGAATGATACAGGAACTCAGGAATCTTTAATTACCAAAAAAATCTGGGAAGAATTGGAACCAAGTTTTCCCCCCTACATTTTCTCTGAGGGCATATGAAAATTTACAGTTGGTTGTGTGAAACTCATTAGGATTTAAATGAAGAGGGAAACACAACATCCTCCAATGGTAGTAAAAAAGTCGAATGATTCACTCTTGGTTGGATTATCATTTTTAACTTCTAAGATGGAAATTCCAAGAATTGTAGTTACGGTAGGGTTTATCACAAATTACAAAGTTGAATTAGGCATTGACCCGAGCGTAAAACCAAGGAGTTTCTAGGCGAGATGAGTACCTTTGCCACTTTGGAAACTTATCGAGATGGAAAGGTTAGTAAAATATGGGGATATTGATAAAGGTATATCCAGTAAAGGATTGATGTAAGTGGGTAACGCCAAAAGTTAATGTACGGAAGACGAAGGATAATTAGAATATGTGTTAACCTTAGATTTACTATTAACCAGCTGTTGGAGGAACGTTATATAATCCCAACGTTGGGTGATTTATTGAAAAAGATAGGAGGAAGACAGAAATATTTAACATTGAATCTTAGGGATGCTTATCTCCAAATAAGAATCCAGGAGGAGTTCCAATATTTAACAATCGCAACAAAATCATGCCAAATGATTAGGCAACTATTTAAATTTCATTACTGGGAAGAATGATAATCCCATGCAGAATTTAGAAGGGTACTACTACAAGCTAAAAATATTGAAGGATTCTGTAAAATTATTGTGCTTCAACATAGAAAAATCTGGAATTTATCCAATCAAAAAGAATCTTTTAGCTATTCGAGAGGCTCTATAACCTATGATATGAGACAACTTTGTGCATTACTTGGGTTATTAAATTAGAAACCAAACTTACATAGAGTTGCCTCACCGTTACATAGGATATATAAATAGTCCTTAGGTTTGAACTAGAAGTGGCAACCTGCGAAATTGAAAAAAATAATGACGGCAGTATAGGTTGATATCATACTTTTTGAACTACCATTGATTTTGGAGTATGACGCTTCCTCGAATATAGGATTTGGGGCGGTATTTCTGCATGAAATAAGAAATCGGTCTACAAAACCAATTGCTTTTGTATCGTGCACGTTATAGGCGGCTGAGAAGAATTATTCCGCAATTGATAAGAAAATGTGGACTCTTTGTTTGGAATGATGGAAAAGTTCCATAGTTATATGTACGGGGGTTTATTTTTAGAACAGACCACAAATCATTGAAGAGACTGATAGAAAATAGTCGAGATCTAACCAAAATTGTGAATAATGAACCATCAATATGGGCCTGGGAAATAACTGAAATTTTAAAATGATATTTTAAAAAAGGAAGTGAGAAAATGCTAGCAGATGTAATATACCGACTACCTAAGGGCAACATAAACGAATAATGAAGCAAAGTACATAACATGTACGATATGGCATGACGGTGAAACGGTTAAAAGAGGAGAACAGTAAAGATGGGAAACTAAAGAGAGTAAAAAATTACTTAGATAGAGCTTGGTCAGTGATAATAATACCGATTTAGAACTCTAACCGTTTGCAAGGAAATGAAATGTGCTATGAATAATGGTATAATAGAATGAGATTCTTAGATAGAGCTTGGTCAGTGATAATAATACCGATTTAGAACTCTAACCGTTTGCAAGGAAATGAAATGTGCTATGAATAATGGTATAATAGAATGAGATTCTTAGATAGAGCTTGGTCAGTGATAATAATACCGATTTAGAACTCTAACCGGTTGCAAGGAAATGAAATGTGCTATGAATAATGGTATAATAGAATGAGATGGGGGATTAGTTATTTCAAATTTTTACTTAAAGAATTTTAAAAACATCTCAAGGGGGTTATCCCGGAATTGAGACCATAAAGTCGATACTACGATTTAATTGCTGACGGCCGAATACCGTGATGTTGAGAACTATGTTGATCAGTGTCGGATGTCAAACTAAACCACCAGGAATTGCAGAAAAACCGTTGTACTTTTGGGATATTCCAGGAAATTGATGGGAGCGGTTACATATCTATTTTGCAGGATCTGTGGATTAGTAGGAGTGGATTTATATAAATTTGAAATATCTCCCAAATTTTTTTTATATAGCCCATATAATTTGAATACTGCCCCTTCCATTTTAATTATTTTTTCAGCTCATTTCTATTAAAAAAACTGCCGAAATAATTTGTCGGGGTTAAAAAATATTATTATTTAGACATTTTTTTATAATATATTCATAATATTTTAAAGCAAAATAAGACAGCATAAATCGAGGAGTTCGATTAAGTGTAAAAGGTCTAAAGTAAGAGATATTTTATCTTTATATAAAATATCGTCTTAATTTTAAACTATGCACTACATATTTTATTATATTTAAGGTTTTTAATATTAGAACTGTTTTCATAGAGTTAGCCGGTAAAAATCTGTTTAAAAAAAATAACAGATTATTATTAAATATATTGTTGTGATTCATGAGTAAAAATGCATTATATTTTGTTCATCTAACATCTGGAGTAACCGGGGTAAGGGAAACTTCCATTAGCAAATATGCCTTTTGTAGATATCATAATTTAAGGAGAAACCCGCATTCCCAAAAGTTAATACAGTAGAAATAATAAATAATATTTCCCCAAAATATTCAGTAAAAGTTAATATTTTTTTTAAATAAATCCAATTTATTGTGAAAATCTATCCAAAACCCTCCCTTTACTAAAATCTTGAATATGATGAAGTTTAATTATCCATTTGAACTCTTAAAAATTTTCCCAATTAACTTCGGTTGAATTAAAATTTTAATGTTTGAGTTGTATTCTTACTATAATATTAAAATTAACATTTCGTCTATCATTATTATAGTTGGGATTGGTATTAGTTATAGATATGAGAATTTGGCTTAATCTACAGATGCACACCATTAAATGTTAAGCACGGCATGAGTTAATTTATTTCTGCTTTCTTCAAAGTTGATATACATTTTGATGAAGAAAAACACCCGAGACTAAAGATAGTTTTCTGCCAAGAACTAGATTTATCTGTTTTTTAAACGGTTAAAAACAAACATTTGCCCAACCATAATCCTTATTCCTTAATTACTAACTCCTTCAAGGACATAAGATTTTTTTACCATTAGAAAAATATATGATTATAATAATCATAATATTTATTGAAAGCGAGTAGAGAAGCGGCTTTTATGTATGCAGCAACTTCTTCCGGCGTTATGTACGCGGTTATTCAAGCGTGCAGTAAAGGTAACATATCCAATTGCGGTTGCGACAAATCCAAAGAGAGTGGCTTTACCAGAGAAGGTTGGAAATGGGGAGGATGTTCCGCCGACATAAAATATGGAATGCAAATGTCTAGGCGTTTTGTCGATTCTAGAGAGATAGAAGGGGACGAGAAGTCACTTATGAACCTTCACAATAATCGAGTGGGAAGGAAGGTATGTATAGATATGATTTGTCTTTGAAACTTATTTCTTATAAATAGATTCTTATCTATAATTTGATTGATTCAAAAAATAAATGATGTTTACTAATAATACTTAGAGTCCCATTGATTAGTGCTTCAATTATAAAATATTTTCATGAAGTCTAAAATGATTTTATCTGTCACATAAATACAAGATATTATTGTATAATTTTGTTAAATCTTTAACATTAATTCTGTGATTCAAAAAATAAATGATGTTTACTAATAATACTTAGAGTCCCATTGATTAGTGCTTCAATTATAAAATATTTTCATGAAGTCTAAAATGAATTTATCTGTCACATAAATACAAGATATTATTGTATAATTTTGTTAAATCTTTAACATTAATTCTGTATTGAAAACTTATTTATTTCAACAATTTAATTAATATCGATCCTCCCCTTTTTAAAATAAAAAGACTCTGAGAGTTAATGCCGATGTAGATTGTAAATGCCACGGAATTTCGGGATCCTGTACCATGAAAACATGTTGGGTCACTCTTCCGCCTTTTAGAAGGGTCGGCGATGTTTTGAAGAAAAAATACGATCGTGCAAAACAAGTCGAACCCTTGACTGATAGAAGGTTTAATTCCCTTATATTTTTACTCCTAGAATTTTAAAAATTATATAAGTATCTTAAGTATAATGGAGTGTTTTGAGGATTTTGTAAGAATGTTTTTTTCTAAAAAGCGAGGATGAGACTGAGAATTTTTGCAAATAGTATATTTATTTAAATTAGAATATAATAAGTCAAAAATCTATAAATATGAAGATTATAATTTTTTTTTACATGATTTCACCATGAAAGAATTTTTGCACATAAAAATAATGAAGATTTATAAAAGATTAAAATTATAAATTCTTTTTTTTATCTTAAAATATTAATGCTCAAAGTTTTAGGCAAATAAATATCTTTATATTTCCAAAGAAGATTTTTTGTTGACCTCCCAAAGTATGCACCCTAAATTATTGCTTTTCATATATTCGTATTAATAAACACTCCACAGAACCCAAAGACCTGTATTCCTGAAACTGAAACCTAGCGGCCACGGTAGTCGAGGAATTCACAAAAAGCCCAGGAAAGGCCATTTAGTATACTTACAAAGGTCACCAAATTATTGCGAAAAGGATTTAGCGATGGGTTCCTTGGGAACAAAGGGAAGATCTTGTAACAAAACCTCGCCGGGCATTGATAGTTGTGATGTTTTGTGTTGCGGGAGAGGTCATGAGACCTTGCTATCAGATAAAGTTTGGCGATGTCACTGCAAATTCCATTGGTGCTGCTACGTTGAATGTAAAACATGCAGTGAAAAAAGGGAAGAATACACGTGCAACTAAATAATTTTTTTTTTAAAAATTCGATGGCAAGAAAAAATTTACATTCCATGATTGAGGAAAAAATAAATAACACTACTATATTTTGTATACTACTTAAGAATCACTTCGTAAAGAAAAAATTTGTTATATTTAAAATTACTACAATCTGTTAAACAGTATTTTTTGGCATTCTTTCGTATTTTTTTAAAAAAGATTTATAATAATTTTTAAAATAAAAATAAAAAAAAAATAGAACAAATCTCATAAAAGAATCTCAAAAAATTATAGTCAATCATTTATTTTGTTTTCCTGTTTTGAATATCTAAAAAGTTCGATTTTATTATTAGCCGTGGAAAATATAATTTTATAAATTTCTAAAAAAACATTATTATAAATATTATATTCAATCGATCGCGAAAAAATAACATCCCAAAAAAAAATTATAACTTTTAAATGAATGTGATATTGGAAGGTATAATTATTATGTATAAAATATTATATTTATTAATTTATTTTCACGACTTGTTTTTACAACCATTTTATAAATATGAATAAAAAAAAATAGGATCCCGGTATTAAATAATTTAGAATTTGATTTTACAAAAATATCCTTATTGCGACATTTTCCTATCCACATCTAACTAAAGTTTAAAAAAAAATATGTAGTGGTTTTAAAGAAGCAAATTAATTTTCTAGTTACACTACAATTCTGAATATTTAAAATAAAATTGGGAAATAAGTTGCAGCTAATAGTAGTCATAAATGGGTAGAGAGGGGGGGGGGGCACCTTGAGGATCCCATCCCTCTATTTTTTACCCCCTCTATCCCCCAACAAAATATTGCAGATTTTGCATTTTTAGCCATTTTTATACACTTAGATGAATTGTAATAAATAAAAATATTATATTAACCATATTAAATAACCCAGCCTTCATGTTACATAAATTATCATTCATACAGTCAAAACCGTTTATTTGCAAAAGCTTGGGACCAAAATATTTAAAAATTTCGCAATTATCCGATTTTTCTCAATTATACCATCAAACTTTGTAATAAATACAATTTTTAGTTATTGTAACAACTAGATTTTAAATTTGAATTCGTTTTAAAACGAATAAAAAACATAAATTTAAAATTTTATTTAGTATGTCTAAACATGAATTTGAGAATTTTTAAATACTAGGATTATTCGAAATTCAAACAATAATTTTTATAAATACTACCTTTAATTAAATTTCATATATAATACAATAAAGATATTCAATTTATTTTCTTAATATTTATCGATTTTTTTAAAATATCAAGTGGCCAATTAAGAAAACATGAATATTAAAAAGCAGGCCAGGCCAGAAAATTTAAGTTTATTAAAAGTGTTTTGCTTTAATTCACATGATAATTGATTTTAAATTATTATACTGTATATATAATGTTTTGTGATAAGAGTTATCAAAGACTTGATGGTTAATTATTTTTATATTCCCTAGCTTTCTTAGTAAATCCTGTTCCCTTGGATTATTCTGTACCTATTCAAAATAGCATAAATATCTTGATTTTTTTAGATAAAATCATCAGATCTCTAAATTATCTTCGCCATTTTAGAGCTTTCATTACCTTCTGCAAAATAAACTATTTTTTTAAAAATAAACTTATGAATTCTAATATTATAAATGTATTAATAGGCGATGCCGGAATAAAAGTTTATTAATGCTTTTTAACATAATATTTTATTTGAACTTATTTTATTATATATGCATTACAATTATTATAAAATAATGTAAGATTTAATAAAAATGTTTTGTGATAAGAGTTTGGCTAGACTCTGGAGTAAATAATTTTTTTTCACTATATTCTCTAGCTTTCTTAAATGGTTCTTAGATTCACTTCGTCATTCTCAGAGCTTTCATAACATTCTATAAAAAATAAGATTAATTGAAATTTTTGAAGTTGTTAAACCTTCAAATTCTAATCTTATTTGATTACAAATGTCTTGATCATCCAATATTCCATGAAAGCTAGAATCATCATCGTGTAACGCATATTCTACAAATATGGGATCAAAATCATTTTCTTCGTTGTCAATATTAGTGCTATACCATCCTCCGATTCCCAATCAAATGCCACTTTACAAAAAAATTAGCATCAATAAAGCATTTTATGATTGTGGTACTTGTCACCCCACGAAAATTATAAGATAGTAACAACCTTTTAGTTGCAGAAGGTTTATTCATTAGAAATCATGAGCAACTTGCTTTATTAGCTTACAAATTGTAAATTGTGGAAACATGACATTTATAACTTAACGCTAATTGTGGTATTGAAGTAGTGTTTAATTTTTCAATGATTTCCCGATTTTGCTTGAGAGTTAACGCTTGGAATGATATCTAGTTCTAAAGATAATTTTAACATGATAATAATATATAATAAAATTACCATTATTGTATTTAAAAAAAGTTAAAAGTGCAGTTCATGTAAAAAATAACGAATAAATTTTTTCGATAAGATTTTTATTTTTCCACTTATCCGATTATTAACGTTATTGTCATATAAATGGGACCTAAAAAATTTCTTAACTGATTCGAAATCATAAATGTAATTTAACATTATGCCATAGTAATTTTTATCAAAATCGTGGGGGGTTTTCGCATTTAAAAGTATTTACACTTAAACGATATGCAATTAAATGGTTTTAACTGTATTTGAATACTAGTAGATAGTCCGTCACGAATGAGAATGACGGGGAATTATCCTTAATTTGATGGTGGGTGTTATCTTTTATTTGACACTCATTCAATTTTTATTTTTACCCACACCAAAAATTTTTTTTTCCTAATTAGCTTTTATTTAATACCCATATTAATATTTTGTGTTAATAAAAATATTCTTGACCAATATTCTTTTGTCTATAAATCTTAATATTAATTATAATTGATCCTAAAATAAAAAAATCATAAATTTGAGCAAAAGATTTAGAATTAAACACAATGGCGTCGCTAGGGGGGAAGCGGGCTCGAGCCCCCTGAAAAATTTGAAGAGCCCCCTGAAGCAAAAAATTTATTTTTTAATGGCTCCTTAATATCCCCTTGAACTAAAAATGAATTTTTTTGATAGCTGCCTGAATGATTTTTTTTATAATTCCATTAAGTAATATATAGATTTAATTTTATTATTTAGAAATTAATAAGACTATTTAAAGTTTTATTAAATGAATACTATTTTAATTATTAGATTAGATTAATATATATAAATTATATTTTCACTATGTCAGCTTGCAATCAAATTCTGTATTAAAAATATAATATTAATAACTCACTAAATATTAATTTAGCTTTTACAGTTGAAGTTTAATTGACTTTTAATTATCATACCTATTCCTAAAAATGATTTCAAGATCCAAATAAGTATAAGAGATTACTTTATAAAATGCAAATAATAAGAGATATAGTTTATAATCCTCTATTATATACAGTTAGTTATAAAATATTAGATAAAATGCCACTTTTATAGACGTATTTGACAACTATATAATATATTACAGTTAATATTATAATAAATTTTACTAATAAATGGTTTTGATAATAAATATAGTAACAATATGCATTTAAGTATTTAACGCCATCTATTAAGTTATAAATAATTTTAAAAATTAGACATTTTATTATTCATTCTGCAATAGATGTAATAAATTTGATATATTTTCTTTTCTTTTCTTTTCTTCTCTTTTCTATTTTTTTTTCTTTTCGAAAAACAGTTTTGAATTAAATTTTTAATACAAGTATATTTTTGATATTATTACAAACTAATATTATTTTAAGATATAATATCGACAATATATAAAATCTTAATTGTTTCATCATATCATTCTGGTCCTAATTTTATAGTTAGAAAATGTTTCATTTCTAATATGGCATTTCTGTGTGTAAATAACTCCAGGCTGCAATATATTTGCATAATTATTCCTTTCAATTAGTGTTTTTATTTTATCAATTTATCCAACATAATAAATTCTGATATAAGTTTACATCGTGAGTGTCATGGCTATTACTGCAAATTAACCAGTGTATATTATTTGTGTTGCTATGTAATTTAAGATTATTACAACAACGGCTGAGAGAATATGATTGTGTATTTTAGATAAACAATAATGGTCAACGGTGTAGTCGTTTATATATCATTTAAAATGGAAGATAATCTTTTAGAAATTTAATATCTCACGATAATTATCTCTATTACTTATCTAGCTTCCATCATGTCATCTAAAAGGAAGCTCTAACCACCATATAGTTTTATGATTTGGATTGGTCGTTTATACTCTTTTCTTTAAAAATTGTTGATTTGGTATAGGCCTATAAAATTTTTCCTTATTAGTTTATTGTATAAAACATTGTCTAAAATGGTAACAGAGAGTTATAGTAGTTTGATAACCTTTTGTCAATGTAAGTTGCTAAGAATTATATTATTGCATTATATGGTTTTTTTATATGCCAGTTTATTTTGTATGCATAATATAATAAATGACAAAATATGAAAATCAGAATAATTGTTCAGAGTTAACTAATTTTAAAAAAGTATAATATATCACATTTTTTTCCTTATTTTACCTTTTCGCTTTTTCTATTTACTTTTACTAATTAAGCAAACATAAAATCAGAATGAGTAAGTTCCACTCATTTTATTAAATTTCAACTGGGTACAAGGTTTGTTGGTATCCTCGCTCACATTGGGCAGGTCTATGACCAACGTGCAAGATTACACCAGTACCTAATTGACTATGAATTTAAATTTGTTTTTAGCAGAAATTATTATTGAAATAAACGAAAGTTCAGGCCACGAATATAAGATTTTTAACTGTGTTAATAAACTTAAAAATTATATTGAAGATAAAGAATATATTGTTAATGAAAATACGTGTGAATTATTGGCTAAATGTTTTAATTCTGTTATTAATTCCCATGAAGATAATTGTGTTATATATGATCTAGCCAAAGTTAGTCTCACATTCTGTATAAAGGTTTATAAAAATTAATTAAATTACAAACGTAATTATAGTGTGAGGATTGGGAGTTTCAATTAAATTACAAAATTATAAATATAGCTCATATCAAATATTGTTTATATTTATTAGAATTTAGCATAAATAAATTCTCAAAGATAAACAATAAAATAACAGGTTCATATTTTTTTCTATAATTTAAGCCATAAATATTTCAAGAAAAAATTTTAACCAAACTTACAAATCAAAAATTTGAGCTTATAACAAATATATTAAAATGTAAAGAAAAATTGATTATCAAGCATATGATTATAGTTTGGAACAAAATGATAAATTTTTTAAAAGAAATTCTAAATCTTAATATACATGATATATATTTGTGTCATCAAATGCTTTTAATAGATTTAAATTGTTATGACAATATATTAATTCAATATATATTGCCATTTTTAAATTCTTCACTTATTGTTGAAAAAATATATTTAAATAAAGAAGATGAATACAGTAGAATATGTTTTGATATGTCTAAAAATATTTGGGATATTTATAATAAATCTCCAACTTTATTAAATTCGCATGATGTCAAATTTGTAAATTATAAATTAATTACTAAAACATTAGCCATTCGTATTATATTAGAATTGGATTCATCTACTAGTAAATAATAAATGATGTATTTGATTTATTTTTTTTAAAGCTGCAAATGATTGCATTAATTATCTCAATATTATCAATGAAGAAGAATTCAATTTAAATAATTTAGCAGAAAATGATCAAGAGTTGATTGAAATAATTTTATCAGCATTTTACATTTATCAGCATTGCTTTGTGTTTGTATAATAATACATACTACATTATAATATATTTTAAATTATAGGAATGTTCAAAATCATTTTACAAAATTAGAAAAAATATATCCACCTTTAATTTGCTATGAATTTTTAAAAGTTATTCATTTTGATGTAATGGTCTTGTTAGATTTTTTGACCTCCAGTGAAACTGCCACACTTTTATTATTGTACTTGTTAGCCTATTTAAAATTTTCCCAAACCCTCAATCAAATACGATGCAATGAAAACAGAGATGATATCAAAATTGAACATATTAACAAAACTTTTTCAAAATTAAAAAATTGCATACAAAATGCAAATAAAAATAAACCATTCCCTTATAATATAATGCCTTTAATAAATATCTTAGAAAAATATTGAATAACTATATTTATTATTTACAATATTATATTATAATACATGAATAATATATCATATTATAATTCGATCATAAATAAACCTTAACCAGACTCGATACAATGTGAATTTCGTTTTAAATCACGATTTTATTTAAAAATATGCCATAATTTATAAATTTTTAATAATTGATAATTTAATAATCGGGTATTAAAAACGATTGGTTTATTAAAGTTCCACGTGATTATTTGAATCTCCATCTGTTAATAATAATATGATTATATTATGTTAATATTAGAGTTATTCTGATATATCTAATGTTGTAAATATTAAGCTTTCAACTAATCTGTGATATAAGTTAATCCGATTTTTAATAATAACATTTTTGGTTAATAGAATAAACCAAAACTATACCAATGGAAGTAAATATAAAGGAAATGGTTGTGCTATCTCAATTTCGAAAGAATAATTGCCATATTTAAAAAATAAGATTTATATTAACATTTGAAATTAGATCAGCTAATTTAACAATATCGGAATAATAGGTATTCTTAAAAATACAAATGATAGAATCGATATTGGAATATTCATATCTATAAAAAGATATTTTAAAAAAGTAATTTAAATTGAATATTTATTAGGGACCTGCAAGCCCGGCCTGGGTAAAAGGACCAGGCCTGAAATTTTTTTTAAAAACCGGTTATATATTTTTAAACCAAATATTTTAAATCGCCATTATTAGCTATATAAATTAAAAATATTTAAAATCCTGGCCTGGGCGGAAAAAATTTTTGAAAAAAAATCTGTACAAATAGTACCTCTGCAGGTCTATGATATTTATTGATCAAATTTAGTTTGGATAATAAAAAATGTATGCAGATAAATGTGCATTGGTCAATAAATTAATTTATTCCTAATTTTTAATTGTATAGGTTTTAAATCAATTATGGATATTTTCTCATTTAGCTTTAACCCATTTAAAAAAAATGATTATGGATGAGCTAGGGTTAGTCTATTATATTTTAGGATTAGTAAATGATAAATCTTTTTTTTCTCTAAGTCTACTGACAAAGATTTAAAATGAAAGAGTAATTTGCATTATTACCCATATTTTTGAGGGCATCGTTTTTGTTCAAGATTGGAGTTGTAATAATGGATTGACTGGATTCCAGCAATTTGGTCAACTCTTTTATCTCGTTATCATAATCAACCCATTCTGGTATTATTCTCATAGCGCTATGTAATTTTGGTTCTTTTGTCATAGGATTGTTACACTGAGGGTTTTTTTAAAAAAATGGCTCGAATTAAATATTATTTATATCAGAGATACATCAAAATTACCTAACTTTGACCAACTCAAACATAGTTATCCTAGCTTTATCCTAAAAAATTGACTTAAACATCAAGGTTCTACCTCTGAAATGAATTTTTTAGAATAAAAACTTGAATAGCTTAGTTGAAATGAGATATTTATTATTTTAAATATTTTTTATTGTGAAAAACAAACCAAAATTATATCAGACTAATTATTTTGATATTTTGTAAATAATTTATTTATTCTAAAACTCTTTTCTGCGAGGACGAAATAAATCATTAAATAAATAACAATCAAAAAAATGTTAAGTTATCAGACTTGGTATCGGGTCTCTGAATTATATTTTACATAAATATTTCAGTTTGGAAGGCTTAGAATAATTTATTTATATAAATAGTCTAATATCTATGCATCATTTAAAAATCTAACAATTTATAAATAAAATCTTTCTTAAATCATAATCTCACTTTTTTAAATATTTGTTTAAAAAAGGAAGGTGCAGTGTATAATCTACATTACAATCGAAAATTAATTACGTGACCTTTAAAAAAAAACGAAATGCCACTCAAAAAAATAATATATAAATTCATTCCTATTCTATTTCCTATCCAAATACTTTTAAACATATTGTTTTAATTTTGTTTTAAGATTATAGAATGCTAAAGGGCTAGTTAAATTGACTACTCTTATATATAAAGTGTTCAAATAAATAAAAAAGATTATTAAATAAATTTTACTATATCAAATAGAAAAAAATAACTTGCTTGCAGTCTGATATGCGATTAAAGAAAGAAGGAGGAGGGGGAAGTAAAGAAATAGAAATTAGTAAATTTTAGCAAAAAAATCAGTGATAAAAGAAAGATAAATAGAAATAATTATATTTTTAAATTAATTTTCGCCTAAAAATAATTGTCAATCCGTCCTCACAGGCCGAAAGTCTGTCCTAGTCTAGCCCTTCCCTGATTTCTTTCGGCCGGATCCGGATATACTAAGAATGTAGTCCCAATTTTGAAATATTATAAACTAAATCTATCGTTTTGGCATTGCTTTTGGAAGCATCGTCACACCAAGTTTCGCACCACAACCATTCTTGCGGTAGAGATTTGATCATGACTTGATGAATCATGTTGTTTGGGAGATCCTTATATAAATCAAAATATATTCTTATATAAGATTCAACTAAAATTATTTCCTATACCCTGGCCCGTTGCCTTGCATGATTTCGAGATATATGTTTGTGTTAAGCTAAGTAAATAATGATGGGGGGTAAAAATTTTGAAATAGGGTTTCTTCATCTATATTGCTTTTCCTCTTTTAGTGGTAAATTCAATTATCATCATTTTGAAATATATTGGTTACCTTTAAAAGTAGCGCTATTAGCTACTTTAGAATTTTTTTTATGAATTTCTTTTCTTAACATAAAAAATATGACCAAAATTTCTAATATATATTTAATTTATTTTTATTGCATCTCAAGAATAATAACATTTCTAGAGATCTGCAAATCACGGCTCCCTATTTTTAAAAAATAATTTCGGTTCGGGATTAGTCTGGCCTAAATTTTTAAATATGATATTACATTTTGTCAAATATATGTTTAAAATTCTTGCAAGAAACAAAGCGCTAATATTTTTTATTTGTAGAATAATTTTTTCACAATAAAAAAAATTAAATTTTTCTATATTTAAATAAATTCGGGCCGGACGGACAAATAATTTTTATTTCGGGTTGGGCTCTTTGGAACAAATAAAAAAAAATCAGGAATCAGGCCGGGCATGACAAATTAGGCCCGATACCTAATTTTCATATTGTCATCCCCAAATATAAGGCGGCGATCAGAATAAGCTATGACTAAATAATCGTTCAACACTAGCACGCAATGCAGTATTAAATTTAATACACATATTTTTTATGTAAGAAAAATCATTTAAGTATTTTTAGATATAAATGCCTCTAAAGGATTTTAAATAGTGCTATTATTTATTTCAACAAAATCATCCATAATAGGTGTTAGCTAGAATAAAATTATGTAGGGATAAATGTAGACCATGTTTGCTAACTGGCCAGCATCACCCTTTAACTTTTTATCTATGAAATAAATATTTTTTAGCATATTTTGATAAAATTTATAAATAGATAAGTTGTTAATTTTAAGCATGTTTAACATCCAGATAATAATTTATAAAATACTATCATTAAATAGATGGGTCTGATGATAAAGTGAAATGTTAATATTATTTATTAATTTATAATATAATTCTAGAATAATATCTTATGACCCGTTGAAACATTATGTTTGGACTGGACCAGAAAATCAACTTTCACATAAACTCATCACTCAAAAACTATTATAGATTCAGCTTTGACTCAAATTTTATTTTCAAGATTACGGATGGGGCCAAACATTGATATTAAATTTTGTAGGAAATATTACTTTTGAATATTTCCTCGTTGAACTACTAGTCTTGTTTGATGATAAACTTTCCGGCACATCTTAAATGAAATTATATCCATTATTAATTTTTTTTATCCAGATTAAAATATTTTGCGAATTTAGGAAAAGAAAATTTCATATTATAATCATTTTTCAGGGGAATTACTTTGTCGATATGATCTGTACCAAAATTATCTTCAATATCAATCTATCGACTAAAGTAGCGCGCTAATTTGACAACACTGGTATTTTGAAATTTCCAAAAGTAAAAAACATAAGCAGTGCCCCGAAAATTTTTAAGCCTTGCCAGAAATTTTAATTTATCTTTAAACCCGAGTCCAGTCTCACTTTTTATATTAGGCCCAAGCCCGACTAAAAATTTAAATCAATTTATAAATTAAAAGTATTTTTATTAATTTATGAAGTAAATAATTACTTGCGTTATTTCCAGTGTTGTTAAACGCTACTTTTAAAAGTAGCGTGCTATCGCTACCGCTATTTTATAAAAAAATAGGGCGCTACCGCTATCGTTTTCAAATGAGTAGCGCGCTATTAGCTACTTTTTACACTATTTTGATTTTTTTTTAAAAATTTTTTACGTAACTTTATTTCCACAAATAAAATATTGGTATAAAAACATGACTATAATTTGTTACATATATATATATATATTTTATTATTGCACTTTAATAATAATAACATTTCGGTACTGTCATCCCTACATCTAGAGCGATGATCAGAAAGTATAAGCTTTGCCATACTAACTAATCGTTCAGTACTAGCACTTGAGCGCAACGCAGTATTAAATTTAATAAACACACTTTTTATATGAAAATCATAAAAATATTTAAATGAGTATTTTAAAGCATCTAGAGATTCAATAATATTATTATTATTATTTATTTCAAAAAAATCATCTATGAAAGGCCGCGGTTTCAATCTTGCTATAGTATTAGTATCGTGGTTAGGCATGGCATTTTTTAACGTTACCATCAGCCTATCAAGTTGCCCTTTAGATTCAGTTAAATTATTGTATGGCCAATTTAACTTGAAACTAAGATGAACGATAGCAGCTATTACATTATCATCATCATACAGATCTGGAAATCTAATTTATATAAATCATTTATAAAAAAAGAAGAATACCTTTTTAATTTTCAAAATTTAAATTTATCTGAGATTTAGATTCATTTATAAAAAAATATTAAAATAGCATTAAATTATGGTAAATAAAAATTTTAAAAATATAATTATTATACACAAGGTAATTAATAATATATTAATTTTGAATTTTATATTAATACTATATATTAATATTATAGAAAGGATAATCTATATTTTTCTCATTTTCCAAAGAAATTTCGCTATCTTCAACAATCCCACACATTTTTAATAACTAGATTTATAATGTATATTTTAAAATATAAATTTCAAAATTAAATTAAATAAAAGGATTATAATTTTAGATTTAATAAAAAATATTTTTTAGATGTATTTATTATGTAAAATTCTAAATTAGTAGCGAGCTACGGCTATCGCTATTTTCTAAAAAAAGTGCCAGCTAAAGCTACCGCTACTGAAAAAAGTAGCGCGCTATTTTAACAACACTGGTTATTGCTATAAAATTTTAATCATCGTTATAATTGTAAATTTAACTACACTAATTATCTTGAATATATATGATTTTATCAAGATTGGTAGGACATAAAGATATTCTTTTGGCATTAAGTATTAATCCAGCCGTTTAAATTCTTAAACCCTTTATCTGCAGGTATGCAAAAAAACTTCCTAAATTAACTAGTTTCGGAAGTTCAAGTGTCTCTTTTCCCCAAAGGATGGTACATCTTTCTGGTATAGTATGTTTAAAATATAACATTTCTGCTCAAAATTGTTAGTACTATTAAAATCTTTGCCTAGGATAGAATTTTTCCGAACTATTTTTGCAATGGTTGACCCTATCTATATTTTAAATCTCTTTTTCTGAAATTCAGTCATTTTAATATGTTTTAGATGCTTAATTAAAAATTGAAATGGCGTAAAATTTGTAACAAAATATTCGAAAATAATCTTCAGATTTTGTTATCTTGGATCAAGTTAATTTGTATAATAGTTACAAAAATAAATTATGTTTATCAGATTATTTTTCATCTCTCGTCAATTTTAAGCAAGGTTCACAAAAATATAAATATGTAATATGGTGTTTTTCTTTTTCCTTCTTCATTTCCGAAGTATCTCCACATATAACATAAATATATATATAAATTTAAGAAATCATCATATAAAGATAACAATATATATAAAAATTCAACATTAAAAATTAGATTTAAAAAACTAGATACATTCTTAGTAAGCGAATTATTTTTTTAGAAATTTTTGTATTTTTTTAAAGCTTGTCCTGATTATTTAAAAAAAATTTAGGCAAGAGCCCAGTCCGAAATATTTGGAAATTTTGGCTGGCGGCTTTGGGTCGACTTTCAGGGTTCTATTTCCGATTACTCGCATTTAAATTTTCTCAAAGTTCTTTCATTTTGCACCCTTTCTATACCTCTTCCAGGTATCCTTAATTCCATTACTATCATTTACAATGCCCCTGGCAATTTTAAGCTATTCACAACTAGCTTCTGTTTCCCTTTCGCCATCTATTTCTTAATTCTGAACATATTTCTCTTTCCTCATTTTTCAACTTGTACTCTTACCTTTTGAATTTTCGCATTACCTCCTTATAATGCATTGTATGTAAGATTCCAATTAACATTATTATATGACTCAAGGAAACCTCAATTTCAGAGTTGGGCAGTACCGCAAATTCTTATATCTAAGATACAAGATCCTTTTGTATCTTGTACTTAGTATCTTTTTGACATTTTTAATAAGATACTAGTATTTGTATCTTAGATCATTTATTCTGAAATGAATCTCATCTTTTTCATTTTCTTGACAAAAGATACAGACAGATTCTTTTTAATATTCATTTTTAAAATATTACATATCACAATATATATTTTATTTTCTTAGAGAATCTTGCATTAATTTCCTTTTTTTTCCGCCATATTTTAAATATATTGACAAACAAAAATTAGATGGAAAATTTACAACTCATATTAAGGTAGATTGATAAAAAATAGCAACACCAAAACGAAATAAGTAAAGATTATATTATATATATAATGTAACTCGATAGAATATCATTACCAATTTTATGTAATATTTTTTTAATTTGTAGGATGATTAACACTCATGGTAGTGAAATTTGAATTGGGGAAATATCCCTTGAATCAAATCCAAATCTTAAAATTTCATGTGGAAAAAATTTTAAAAATAAAAAAACCAATGTACAGGCTAGATGTAAAACCTAACAAAAAAATGCTATGATTAAACACAAATTTTGCTAAACATATTAAAGAATATTATTTATGTGTAGTTAAAAGGAACATAAATTCTTAAAAATTCAAGTTTACAATATTGTCTACATTTATTAAAAACTGCCTAAGGTGGTATGGGCAAAAGATTTTAAGGAAATATTTTCCTATGATGAATATAAGAAGTCTTTTGACATCAATATCACATCCATATTTTAAGAACTTATGGATTGCGTCAGATGATAAAAAAAAATACTTATAAAATTTATTAACAAAAGAAGCCCTAAATGTAGTAACAGAGTATATAATCAAGCCCAAACTATAACACCAATAGATTTAACATCTAATAAAGAAAATTATGTTTATTTTTCTTTTGGTGAAACAAATGTTGCTGAGTTTAATAATACACATAACATTGATTTGGAGGTTTTAAATTATATTAAAGAAAGTCGAAATACATTATAAATGTTTAATTATTATCCTTCCATTAAGAAAATTTTTTGTACATATATTACTGCAATACCTTCATCAGTTCCAATTGAAAGGTTATTTAGTTTGGGCATAATGTTAAGTAGGCCTAATGATAAATTATTTGAAAAATTTGATTATCTTATAAAATAATGAATCTATTTCAAATACTCTTTTGCAAATTAATATTTCAACCTCACTTAAAAATACTAGTCTCCCTTTTCAATCTGTGCTATGGATGGGCTAATACTAATATTAAAATGCCTGATTATTATAATAACTCAACATTAAATATTTTATTAATTATTGTAATTATTCATTTTTATTATATGCATATGTTATTTCACAAATAAATACTAAAATTGGTAATGATAATTTAAAAGTATCTTGTATTTAAGACACTCTAATTAAGCAAAAGATTCAAGTATCTTTTTGATATTTTGAAAAATACCAGTATCTATATCTAAGATTCATTTTTTCACAAAGAATCTGTATTTGTATTAGTCTCTTTCCGGAGGACCTGCTCAACTATGCTTGCTCAATTTCTCCATAATTCCTACACTGTGAACATTTTATTACCAGATCAACCTTAGCTTTACCTTCTATAAGATTTAATTGTTTTCCACTCGTCGTTTACACCTAATATTTTGAAAACGTGAGTCGCCTTAATGGCTAGCGACTTAACAAAGCTTATTTTCCTTCCCCTCCTTCAGCACTTAGTTCCTTTTACCTTTTCTTTCCTGACTAATAGACCGTATAAAAAACGATGTTTTTATACATATTATATCTAAGAATTTTTCTAATATTTTGTTACCATTATCTTCTTAATTTTTCAAAAATTTATTCTAAAATTAAATACTAAAGAAACTTTTAGCTAAGTTACATTGAGATTTAAACGACTTTTCAGTTACATATTTATTTCGTAAGTAAATCAAATATTTTATATAAGTAGTAAAATTAACTTGATCCAAATTGGACAAACTATTAGGATCCTGACTAAGACCTTGATATTGTCCTCTCAATCTATCACCGGCTGCTATTTGCCTAAATTTCTTCAAGTCTACGACATATAAGGCACTCGTTTATTATATGAAAGAAAAATAATATATAAAAACTTATAATGTTCAAATTATTACGAACTGGGTCGATTCCCAGGTAATGAAATCGATTGCAAAACTGTTTCATAATAACTACGAAATCATATAAATATAAAGTGACTAATGACATATTGTAATAGCAAAAGAATTCTACTTATGATAGATAAAGTTTAAAAATAATTTTTTATTATTTTTTTGGGCGATTTACCTTATGTGGTATTTCCGATGAGCTAGATGAGACGCCCAATATCCCGTTTTCCAAAATCTAAAACATAAATGGGAAATATGTATAAAAAATATGAGGGTCCATTTTTTACAAAATATGTACATTGGAAATATAATATAAAAGTTCTAATTCGCGTAAAATTGTAATAAATTAGCAAAAGTATTTTAACCGAAATCCTTCCATTTCAGTTCTGCTATCGCAAAAAGGAGTATAGCCATAAGGGGCTCCGTTAAGATCCAAATCGATTAAATCTTTCATATCTGCCCTCACTATCTGGTCAGCGTCGACGTATATAATCTTATCAACGTCAAGTGGGAACAAAACGTCCAGAAATAAGATTTTGTACCTACGGGTTTACACATATGAAATGGCGTTTAGTGTATTTTAAGGTCATAATATAAAATAGGTAAGAAACGGATCATATATAATCGTAATTACTGAAATTAAAAAAACGCATACAAAACGAGTTGACAAAAAAATTTTGGGAGTGGGAGTAAATAAATTCTTCATATAATTTGATAAAATAATGTAACGCGAGAGTCAAAACCCTTTATTTTAAAATCTAAATAAATTAAATATAATAGGTGTTTCAGAATGATTTTATGGCATTTCCTATTTAAATTAAAGTATATTTTGAAATACTTACACTTTTTTTCCAGTATAATTTAAGTCATTAGTCTCTTTTTTAGATTATATTTGACAATTTCTAACTAATAAATCATAAGTTTCCCTTATCCCTCGAGAAGTAACGTGCAGGTTAAAAATCTTCATGTTTTGATCTATATGGAATTAAATATTTCTGCAGGGTTTTTACAATTCCTATTTTAAGCTTAAGTGGAATTGTGCAAGTTGTTAATCGATTAAATTTAGTCGACCAACAAATGAGTAACTATAGTTATAGTCGAAAAATTCGAGTAAAAACTCTCACTAAATTTCGACTAATTGAATAGCAACTAATTTAGTCGACTAAGATTAATTTAGTCGGCTTAGTGTACTAAATCAAACTTTTGAGCCGAACTGAACCTCACTGTATAGTCGTGGTTAGTGTTGTTAATTAATCTAGTTCTTCCGACTACTTGAGATATCAAACAAGATGAACCATAGAAAGGTGACAATTCTCATATTTGTTATATTTACATTTTTTATTTTTTTTTATTTTTTGGAGCAAATGGGTAAAAATATATCGTCGGTATAGAATTAAAGTGCTCCACTCGACATTTTCAGAATTTTTTAATAACTTATTTATTCAGAATATATATAAAAATAAAAACTAGATTAAAAAATATTAATTTTTGCCAAAGTTATATAGCTCTGTCAAATTTGATCAATAAGCTTTTCCTATATTTAAGTTTAAAGTTTAATGTTGATTTTCTCATTTTAAACATTTGCGCAAGTGGAGCACTCCAATTCTAGGCCGATGATATATGTTAAATTAAAATTTCAATGAAGATGTACCATACAAAAGTGACAATTGTCATAATCGTTACTTTCTAAAATTATTTGAAGCAACAGATATTATAAACATGTTAAATTAAAATTTAAATAAGGATGTACCATAATTGTTAAAATCATTATTTTTATTCTTTTTTAAATTTTTTTGAAGCAACAGGGTAAAATTAAATTGTAAACATGTTAACCATAGAAAGGTGACAATTATCATAATCGTTATTTTTAAGTTTTTCGATTTTTTAGCGGAAAAGAGCTAATTTTTAGGCCACGCCGGTCTATCTAATTGGGCGGGTTAGCTAAATAATTATATAAAGTGCGAGCTAACGGGTTAAAAAGTTATAACAATGGGCTGGATAAAAAATTTTAGCTTTTATTTATTATTTAAAATCAATTAGGTAAACATTAAAAATATATGCTTCATAAAATTTTAACATTTTTAATACCAAAGTACCAATAACTGTTATGGATGTTATCGTCGGGAGAAATAAATGAGATAAAAAAATTTGTTGGATTTGATTTGCATAAGAAAATTTAATAATTAAATTTTAAAAACAATGTTAGGAGAGGTCCATGTCAAAATTAAATCACAACAGAAGGGTGGGCGAGATTGTTAGAGAGGAGAGCACAGTATTTAAGGACATAGCAAAACATTTAAATCTTATAGTATGGAGATTGAGTATAATTTAGCAAGATCTTAGGCTACTTAGTTTATTATAAAATTTATAAACAATTTATTTAAATTTTACATTACTTTTTAAAAATTTATTATGAATGGTTTCAATTATTTATATAAAGATCTCAATTGAGTAAGAGGCAGTGTTGTTAAACGCTACTTTTAAAAGTAGCGCGCATCGCTACCGTTATTTTATAAAAAAAAGTAGCGCGCTATCGCTACCGCTATCGTTTTCAAATGAGTAACGCGCTATTAGCTACTTTTTAAAAAAAGTAGTTAAAGCTACTTTTTACGCTAATTTGATTTTTTAAAAAATATTTTTTACGTAACTTTATTTCTTGTTATTATCTTCACTAAATATTCTATATTTATATGATATTATAAAAAAATTATAGTCCTTCAGGAATTTAGATTCATTATCTGTAATCATCTTACATCATAAGTCTGACAGCCAATTATTCTTTTTAGAGCTAATGCTGCAGATTTTCGTTTTAGATTTTTTGGATCAATCCAATGTGCGGTCACTTCTAAATAAGCTCTAAAAATATGAATATCATATTATAAATCAGAAAATAAACATTTTTACTTTCTGTTACGCGTCCAGCAATCTGCTGTTGTATAGATGTAGGAGACATCTGTTAGATTTAATATTAAAGATTCTTTCATTTCTTTAAAGCTATCCAAAATTCTTGCCATCAATGTCTGCCGGCAAAATATATTGGTAAGTGGAGAAAAAGTGTTTATCATCTTTATAAAAGAACCATTATCCACCAAGAATATAATAGTTGAACAGTATCTATTATAAAGTTCATTATGACTTTGTCAGCCAATTTTTGAGATACACTTGGTGTTGATGAATCCAAATTGCTTAATTTTGTTTGAATTAAATTTGATTTGGAAGTGGATGTATCTTCTTCCATTACCCCAAAACTTTTGAGATATTTTTCAATCTCTTTATAATTTGAGGTGTGAACAGCCTAAAATTATAACAGTAATACTTAGAATAAAAATTATGTAGGAGATAAGTACATAAAAATGATTGAAATAATTATTTTAAAATGTTTTAAATAATTTAGATAAAATTTATGAATATATAAAAAAATGATTGGTCTTTGATTTAAATTTATTTTAAAAATTAAGGATTTGCCTACACATTGATATTAAATTTGTTTAATATATTACCTTTAAATGTTTTTTCAAATTAAAGCTGCTTGTATGATTTGAGAATATAATTTTGCGATACATCTTGCATCGAAACCGAAATCCAGTAATAATTTTTTCTTCAAGATTCAAGTATTTTTTGAATTTTGGGAAAAGAAATTTCGCTATCTTCAACAATCTCACACATTTTTAATAACTAGATTTATAATGTATATTTTTAAATATAAATTTCAATTTCAAAATTAAATTAAATAAAAGGATTATAATTTTAGATTTAATTAAAGACAAATAGGAATGTGTTTGAACCTAGAAAATATGGATTTGCTATTATTTTGCATTATAATTGCAAATAATATCAATAAATAATAATTTTATATCATAAATATTTTATTTAATGTAATAAATTACTTATCCATAATTTAAATTGAATATTTTTTTATACTTACTAAATTATAAAACTTTTTAAGGGGTGTAGTAGCACTGTAACTGAATCATTTTTTTATTGGAATAAGTTTTAAAGAGAATTCATGTGTTCCATTATATATTTTTGACTTTTTTTATACAGTAGCAGTATTTTTTAATATTTTATTGTCATAATTTTCACTAACTTACTTCCGACCCCATTGTAATATTTGTATCTGAAAAATTTATTGGGTAATTTTTTAGAATGGTTTCACAAAGATTTTAATATCTATTTGGACCACTTCATTATTTAGCCTGACATTTAACATTTGAACAAGAATTAAATTAATTCCCCATCTTATTGTTCATTTACAATATATTACATTGAAAAAGATTAAAAATTTGTAAATATCCTTCTTGATCTCATAAAATTACCTCATCCTTATACGGGTGAGGAAATACAAATAACCTATTATCCTTGAATCTTTCAGGATTCAAGATAAAATAATGTCGATAATAATTGACAATGCCAAAAATTTCTTATCATCAGTGTCTATAACGGAAAAATTTTATATGGATAAATACGATTCTTGCATATATGACCATATATGTTTGGCTCATATACTAAACATAATATTGAGTGCGGGAATAAATATTTTAAATAGAAAATGAGACAAATTTGTTAAAAAATTGCATAAGTTTCCTAAATTTATGAAGGAAATGGATTTATCAGGTGGGACTCGTATACCATTAGATTTAATTACAAGATGAAATTTCAAATTCTTAATGATTTCCACAATTAACAAAGTAATAAACGCTTTTTTTTATTATTTTAAATTTATAAAATATTGATGCGGTAAATAATTTAGGCAAGAAGGGCAGCCTTACTGATAATCAAATTTTTATAAATAATGAAGAGGCCCAATATTTAATAGATATTGAAATTTTTTTGAAATCTTCTACAAAATTACCCAAGAATTCTATAGATACAAATACTACATTTGAGTAGGCAGTTTTATTTATAGATGAAATTGTTAAAACATTAGAAGAAGTAGAAGTTAGTGATAATCATGTCAACGAAATATTGAAAAATGCTACTAGTGTAATGTTAAAAAAGTAAAAATTAATATGGAGCACATGAATTTTTTTTAAAACTATATCGTGTTTGGTTTTTGCCCAAATTTATAAATAATGCTGAATATTTCAAAAATTTCCGAACGTTATATACGAAATATAGCAGTATTGTCCGAGTAGAAGTCATACCTTATTCTGTGCGTATACATAATAAACTAAGAAGGTAAATATGATTACATAGTTATATATATTTGTCTATTATTTAGGGCTGTTTATGAGTTTCCAGATCCTGTAACAGACGAAATAGTTATATAATAAAAGAGGAAATAGCTAGTCTGACAACCAATGTACTTGATTGGTGGCTTAAAAACAGCACAATATATCCAAATTTATTTCTAAATACCAGAGGCTTTTTGGCCAAACAAATTAAGAGTGTTGCAAGCGAGAGAATTTTAAGCAAGGTTGTGGAATGTATGACTTAAAAACGAAACCGTCTTTCATCCATCACCAAGTAAAGTTTATTCAATGATTGCTGGGGCATCGAACTTTAATAATGATATTATGTTAACATTTTTAAATCTATATATTTTTTTCTTTCAATAATTTTTGTATGGTAAAAGCGGATTTTAAATAATAATATATTTCTATTCTGTAAGTTAATTGACTAATAAATTGAATTAATTTAAATGTGTTTTCCTTTGATTTTTATATAAGTAGATTTTAAATCAAGAAATTTATTTATAAATAAAATAATAGAATGGAGATAATGTTATAAGGGATATTCAATCAAAAAGAAAGAAAGAATGTGAAATGAAATTATAAATAATTTTTATAGGCTATTCGTCTGACCCCCGCCCAATATTTATAAAAAAATTTTAAACCATGCTTGCTAATATTTAAATATGCTCCTTCTTACAATTTTTTAAGCAGCCAATAAAAAAAATGATTCAATTACAGTGCAACACCCCTAAAAATGTTTTATAATTTAGTATAAAAAAATATTCAATTTAAATTATGGATAAGTAATTCATTTAAATAAAATATTTATGATAATATAAAATTATTATTTATTGATATTATTTGCAATTATAATGCAAAAATTATAATGAATCACATTTTCTAGGTTCAAACACATTCCTATTTGTTTTTAATACCTTATTGTAATAGAATTGCCAATATTTTTATAACCAATTTGATAACATTGGCAAATCTCTTTGTCGTTTCCACAAAAGCAGGATGGTGAAGTATATCCTCTTACTAAACTGAGATCTTTATATAAATAAATGAAACCATTCATTATAAATTTTTAAAAAGTAATGTAAAATTTAAATAAATTGTTTATAAATTTTACAATAAACTAAGTAGCCTAACATCTTGTTAAATTCTACTCAATCTCCCTACTTTAAGATTTAAATGTTTTGCTATGTCATTAAATACTGTGCTCTCCTCTCTAACAATCTTGCCCACCCTTCTGTTGTGATTTAATTTTGACGTGGATGCCACCTATTTCTAATATTGCATTTAAAATTTAATAATTAAATTTTCTTTGCTTTTAGGTGGTGTTGTTCACCGGCTCGTTTTGAGCCGATTTTTAAAACGGCTAACTCAATATTTCATCCAGAATAGTATTACGCAAGTCTGAAGATTTTGTTTATAGAAGGAGCAAAGGTTTGGACATCTATTAGCGAGATCTCAAGGCTTAGGCAATATTTTTCTAGCTAAAATATTGAGTTAGCCGTTTTTAAAAATCGGCTCAAAACGAGCCGTTTAACAACACTACTTTTAGGAAAACGGGTAAAATCATATTTTCATCCATGTTAATGCAATATTCTTCCAAGCAAATCGAATCCAACAAATTTTTTTATCTCATTAATTTCTCCTGACCAGAGACCTGCAGAGGTACCATTTGCACGCGACGGCCTGAATTTTTTTTCAAAAATTTTTTACGGCTCGGCTCGGATTTTATATTTTAAGGCCTCGCCTGGCTTTTTTTTTTAAAAAAAATTTTCAGGCCCGGCTCGGATTTTTTTAAATATATTATATATATTTTTTATTTTTATAGCTAATAATGGCTATTTCAAATATTTTATTTTAAAATATACGGGGCCCTGATTTTTTTTTAAAAAAATTTCAGGCCCGGCCCGGGTATATTTTAAAATTATGATACAGCCCGGCCCTATAACCGGGTCGGACTTAGGGCCGGGCCTGCAGGTCTCTGCTCCCGACGATAACATCCACAACAATTATCGGTACTTTGGTATTAAAAATGTTAAAATTTTATGATGCATATATTTTTTAATGTTTACCTAATAGTTTAAATAATAAATAAAAGTTAAAATTTTTTAACCCGTCCTCTCGCACTTTTTAAAATAATTTAGCTAACCCGCCCAATTTTGGACGGACGTGGGCCAAAAAGCAGCTCATTTCAGCAAAAAAATTAGAAAAAGCTTAAAAATAACGATTATGAAAATTGTCACTTTTCTATGGTAAATTCTCATTTAAATTTTAATTTAACATGTTTACAATTTATAATTTTATTCTGTTACTTCAAAAAAGATGAAAAATAACGATTATGACAATTGTAACTTTTCTATGGTACATCCTCATTTAAATTTTATGCAGGTTCGGTTCAAAAATCTGATTTAGTCGACTAAATTGGTCGACTAAGCTGACTAAATGGGTCGACTAAGCCGACTAAATAAATCAACTTAGTCGTTTAAATTAGTCACTTTAGCCGACTAGTGGCTAAAGTTTTTAGTCGAATTTTTACACTAAAAATGTCATATAAAAATGGCTGTATGAGGTCATTGTATTGAAGAATTCATTTAGTAGTACTTAAAATACAGTATAAAAACCCTAATGAAAGATATAATTAAATAGATTACGTTATATAGATTAAAGGCGCTATTACACCATAGTATTTAATCTGAAAAAGTCACCAAATTTAATGGCGTTCTGTATTGAATACCATATATAAATAATATGAATCGTTTTATTATCTATCAACTCCTCAACTAAAATTTGAATAATATAAGAGAAGGAAGGTGGGTAGCTTCCATATGAAAGGTGAGGCATTTTGATATTAAGAGAAACTTTAAAAATATAAGCATCATTTAAGACGAGGAAACGTTTAGATGATATAATTGAATATTTAAGAAATAAAAATTAAGGTACCCCCATATAATTCTTTGTTTTTCTGTTTGTTGATTCAACCATTGAGGCCATTTATATTGCACTAGTTCATATTGAAAGTTGTAAGCATTAGCCATTTTAGGTATATAATCCTATATTGAATCATAAATATAATGTATAACATCCTTAAATTGAGATTAAATGTATTTCTTTCATTTTTATTTATTTTAGGTATTCATTCCTTATACTATAAATATTAGAGGGGGGGAAAGGGCAAAATGGATAAGCCTAACATATAATAAATACTTCTAACCCTTGAAACCTATAGAATAATTGGGCTATCAATCATATAGTATATAAAATGGTAGATCCATTCAATCAGTAAGCGAATCTTTTAATCGCAATTATCTTTCTATCATAAGAAGTCCCCCTCCCTCCCCTTCTCAAATCTTTAAGGATATTATTAAGTTAAAGAAGGGCTAACAAATATTAAAAAAATAGGCATACATGCTAAAATCAAGTAAATTAATTGATTTTTAATTTAAACCTTAAATGATGGTGATAGATAATTTTTGAGAAACCAAAATTTGACTGGATTTTTCGTGTGCTTTAAAACGCTCAACATCATTATCCTGCGAGGTAAGATATCATAATAAAGGTTACTTTGGCTACCATAAATATTATAAAATATTAAATTTTATATAGGAATTCATTTAAATTATTTCGTACAAATGCATCATATTGAATATTTAGTAATGTATAACTATAATTATATCAAACTTCAAAAATCTTTCGTATAAATGTCCGGAGGCCACCGAAAAGATGTTGATAGTGCTTTTGTTATTATCGCTCGAAGAACGATTAGTGCCATTATTTATTTTCTTGCCTTTTATTCTACAGAGTTTTTAAAAGTAAATTTAAAAAATAGCACATCACCTGAATTAATGATAAACTCGAAATTTAAAAAAATATAAATATCAATGTTGATAAAAGCTACTTTCAAAAAATAACGCGCCACCGCTATCCTTACTTTTCGAAATAAATAGCTAGCTGGAGTTAATTTTTAAAATAAATGAAGCGCTAGTATTTAATAATTTCAAAAAGTATGTTTTACTTAAAAAAATAATATTTGGAATTCAAACATTAAAAAATTGTATCAATTAAGATGCGATTATTTTTTTTTTACATTTAACACATTTAAATAAAATTATAAAGTAATATCAAAATAAAATATATAAAAAACGCTAGATGCTTCTAGCTGATGGCCCCGTGGTTTGAAACGCAGTGTGACCGACATATCTCAATTGTATCCTTTGACATAAAATTCTATATGAGATCACCTGAAATTATGCGCAGTGACAATATTAAGCTGGGCGGAATGGACCATTATACATGAGCAGACCGTTTCGCATCTTCATTAAGTTAGAACTATAGTGCCCCACCCGTGTTAAAATATTATAGACATTAAGCAGGTGGGTGGACGGGTTTAAAAATTATTTTTTTGTTTCATAGTAATGCGTATTTTATGTTTAAGTAAAAATTTCAAAATCATATAAATAAAGAGCCAAAACAGTCAATCAAATAATTTTAAAAAATTGGGCGGGCGGGTTAAGCAAATTTTTTAAATGAATAGGCAGGCAGGCGGATAAATTCAAAAAAAACTTGTGCGGGCGAGAGAGTTAAATTTCTTTATATTTGGTGAGCGGGCTTTCGTTCGAGTTTAAACCCGCACATTACCTATCTCTAGTTCCAACTCTATTAGAGAGGAAATTAATATGCATAATTCGAATCCGGTTGATTTTACCGACACAAAAAAATACTCTAAATTACTTAATTATGTTTTTATACCAAATATTATATCTTCCCTTGGACATATATCCAATGGAATTTTTTTTAAATAGACCGAATTCAGTCATTAAGTCAGAACCCAAAGAATTTTCTAAATATACAAATTATTATTTATAATGCTTTTTTGAAAACTTATATTCCACTTCCGTTTTTATATCATGGCCATTTTTTTAATATTTTATTTTTTATTATATATAATTTAAAAAATAGGGTGAGGACATTTAAAAACAAGTCAAGGCTATTCTACGGTTACTTTAAAAAGAACCTTCAAAATAATTATGAGCTCTTACACTTTATCGTGAGATTAAAAGCCCAAAATATAAAATGTATAAATAATCCCTATATATTTTTTCTAAATATTAATTATATGGGAATAGCGAGCTGGTCACCAATATTCCAAGATAAGATACATTCATAAAATTAACAATATTATAGATAAATTACATCGTTAGTATATTTTTTTGCTTTGATCAATGGCCAATATGAAAATATATCAAATCATTTAACCAGATACTTTAAAATAATTTTACCAATTTTCCTTGAATGGCATAAAAGGACTATCAAATTTCTAAAAACCTATAATCTTCGTGAACCACTATTTCATCATCCTCCTCCAAAATCTCATCCAGAGAATTGTCCGTCAAATTATCTTCGAAATCCATTATTTCTTTTTGATTCATTCCACTATTGTTTTCATCTTTTTCTTTCTCATTTTTGCCACCAACTTTAGGATCCAAACTTTCGATCAAGATATCTTCGTTCATTTTGTCTGGTTTCTTGGTCACCTTTAAGGGTTTTAAAAGATTTCATGTTAAAAATAATTAAGTTTTTAAATTTAAAACATTTAAAATAAAAGGTCGTAAAAATATTTTATACCTTGACATGGATGGTTTTTCCCAAAAAATTGTCTAAAACAACTAATATATCTTTAGATTCCGAAGATAATGAATCGGTGTTTTTGTGGCTGAAATATTTGTATTTAATGAAAAGGTTTATGACAAAAATTTATAAAAGTGAGATTTAGAGTTAAAAATAATTTTGTCGAATTCTTCACCCAAAATCCTACTTTCTGTCTCAACATGGGAGAGGGGGAGGGGTGTAGTGTCAACGTTTTCTGGTTTAATGAAGGTTTTACTGTGGTCTGGGATAGAATATGATCAGCGTTTTCCTCAACGGGGGTAAAAGCCACCTAAAGGGGTCGATGTCAGATAAAGCATCCGATCATAAAAAAAGCTCCAAAATCTTTTATGATCACAATAAAATATGGGCCCGGTCACGCCCTAAGTAACCCGTGGACCTCCCCATCCGCCTACGTCGAAAAGAAGGATGAGAAACCCGGTAGAATCACAACTCGTGAAATAGATTTTGTTTAATTTGCTTAATTAAACTTGCACAATTTTTTTTACAAAAATAGTTATATTTTTTTTAATCAAATTTATTTCTCTTTTATCCATTAGTTAACTAATGTTATAATCTGCTTATCTTATTAATTTAATTATTTTAAAAAATATAAATATTAAACTTTAAACACATACATTTAACGTATTTTACAGATTATGATAGAAAAACATTTTAATAAACCTATAAATATGATATTTAAACAAAATCCGTTAAGAGGTCTTATAGTGAAAACAAAACATTTTATATGTAGAATAGCTTATTATTTTTTGTGCAGAGAATGATATTTTTTATTTTTAAAGCTGCATATGCTATTCAATGATTAAAACTAAAGTTACAGTGTTCATAACTGAAATTTTCGTAGATTGTATAACATAACCATGTTATTCAAGTTTACAAATTAAAAAATTGAAATTAAATGAGATAAATAAATAAGTACCCAACAATTTTGTAGATTTCTTCCGATTTTCCGGCCCGCAATTTTAGTATAAATGCTCCTGGATGAGCTTTTAATTGGAAATATCCCTTTTCAATATAAACATGTATAATATTAGCAATATGGTTAAATTCCAAAGCATTTTTATATACTCTTAAAATAAAAAAAAATTATCTAATAAATTGAATGACATTGCAATAGACTTAACAATCATAGAATTCAGCTCAGAATATCGAGAGCTCAAAACTGGACCTGTTTTAAAATGCGCATGTAAAACTAAAATGAATATTTTACCAAATTGGCCATTACGATGGTATCGACCATGAGTGGATCGGAAGGCGGGCCCATTGTGAATTGCAAGCCTCTAGGAGGTTTTTCGCTCGTTTTATCAAAACAGTGCCCTGCGATTTAAAACATTATATAAATAAATAAATTTATTAAATATAGATGGCATTATATAAATTCTCTTAACCTATCTTAGTTGTTGTTTTTTCGGTTAATTATCTATAAAACCTTCATTTCATTTTCACCTTTAATTACTTTAGAATACTATTTATAAATCGGTAGATAAAAAAATAAACAAAATTATAAAATATATAATTATTTAAGGAACCAAGCCAGAATGTGAACGTTTATATTTATTTTTTGTAAATTGAAAATGGAGTTGAAAATCAGAAAGAAAATAAATTATAAACTTAAAACTCAAAATAGGATAATTTAATCTATAAAAAAAATTACCCTCTAGAAGCAAATATTCCAATTCAAAGGTGGCATAAACGTCAGTAGGTATCTGATTTAAAAAGTAGAATAATTATTCAAAAAAGTTATGTTATAATTTAGACTTGGTCATTTATAAAAAATAATTGATAGTAATAGATTTTGTATAATAGTTAAATTATTTTATCATCGCTGAATTGCTAAACATCATTTTATAATAGGTGTACGAATTTCACATTTTCTTCTATTAAATTCTTCTCACTTTAAAGTATTCTTATTTGTTTTTTAAATATATTTCATTATGATATCGTTTATGTTGTATTTTATCACTATTTAAAATCGTTTTTTTAAATAAAATTATTCAGAAAGAAAAAAACTAATCAATTAACAAATTTCTGATCTTATTAATCATACTAATTTATATATATATTTTAATGTAGGACCATGTTCTAGTAAACAGAAAAATTTGTGCTTTATTTTATTGCTGATCATGTCCTAAATTTTAATGTCCAAACGTGTGTGCCAGTTTAATTGGCCAAGCAAACACATTATATATTTGATATCATATTTTTTTGCTACTGAATATGACATAATCTGAAAATCATTCAAACTTCGTCCATGTGAATGTTGTCTAAATCGTAAGGAGTGATGATGGACTGTATCATCCAATTTTGGGGCGGATACATTATCATGGTGAGGAGCGGAGTGCGGGGCAAATTTTGAAATATAGCGGAAGGTATTAGAGAAAAATTATTTGATTTGTCGGTCTGTTTGATTGCTTCACTATTTGCGGATGGTGAAGAAAATTTCAACTCAGAATTCAACACGTACCTGTAATAACTGTTTTTATGATAGATATTTTAAAAAAAATGAGTATTATATTTCAGATTATTTCCTTATTTTAATTCTAATCTTTTAAATAAATTAATTAATTAAATACAGCTTTTCTTTTTGGTATAATGATAAAAGTTAAAATACTTTTTCAAGGGCATCTCGGAAAGCTTGGGCTTAGAATTGAAGCATACTTTGATGTCAGCATTCAACACTTCATTAAATACCTATAATAATAAATGGCATCACTTAAAATCTTGAATGAAAATAATATAGAAGTGTTCACTAGTTTTTAAAAAATAAACAATCTAGATGGTTTGATAATCGATTTCAATGGTCATTTCTACAGACCCAAATTTAAAAATAAGAAAGCTCTGGGATTTTTTACCAATAAAACTTGAGATAAAATTTGTGCCGCGCGGCTTAGCGGGTTCAATATGGCCATGATCTCGTATTTTGGGGATATATTTTCCGATTTTTGTTCATCTTGATTTATACAGGCCCTGGTTAATTATTAATATAAATAAACAACCAACATTTTACGTTATAATGATAATTAAGAGCTGTGTGACCAATATGTCTTTCTTTTTTTACGTTTTTAACTAACCTTTTTTTAAAAAAAGTTTAATTGTTCTAAAGATTTATTGCATATATAATTAGTACAGTATATATTTGATATTAGATTTTCCTAGTTCTTTCAATTATGGGTTCTAACTTATTATCTTTGAAACATTAATAAAAAAATTCAACATTTAAAATTATACCCATGTTTTTCGTGCTTAATTTTGAGTTTGATCCTTCGAGCTTCGTTATTGTTGCTTAACAAGGCGGAACTTAATTTCATAATTATATCGCTCAATCTGTTCGTAAATATTTAGAGACAGTGGGGGGGGGGGAGTGAGTGTTGATTGATAAATAGTAAAAATATCATCAAATTATTCTTTATACCATCTATATGCTACGATAGTGATACTGATATCTTTTGATAGCATAATGAAACAAGTATATTAAAAAAAATATTATTTAAGTCTCATTTAAGGACATATTCAAAAGTCTATAAATAATTGATATCCGATGTAGAATATATATTGAACAAATGTATTTTTATAATTATAATAGTAATAGGACCCCTGGGTCATTCTCTGTCAAACCCCCCAGTTACTCGGTACGCCCTTTTACAATTATAAATTTTAAAGCCTTATCTCAAAAACTCGAATTTATGGGTCTTCAAAGTCCAATGTGGCTTTTTTTACGAATCTCAAATCACCCAAAAAATATTAGTTTAAAGTCGCAAGTTATATAAAATTTTATAGATCTTAAAATTTTCAAAATATTTTTTTTTTAATTGTTACTGTTGAAGCATTTTTGGCAAAACAAAAAAATAATATTTTGAGCTAGTTCCAATATCAGAAGATGAAACTTGTCAAATATGTTCAACACCTATATAAAGAATTTAAATTTTATTTAGTTTTTTAAAACTTTTCAAATAAAAAAATCAAATGTAAGGGTGCTAAAATAAAGACAGGTCATTTATAGTATAAATAATCATTTTATATATTAAAACATAATATATTAAAATTATTAAGTAAAATACCTTATTTTTATATTAGTTATTTTATATTGTACCGATTACAATTTGCTGAGGTCATCTATTGTACACTAGATATCTGTTATAGCTAAGCTATCGCTATCATTTGAACTCTACTATTATAAATTAATTATTATTTATGATAAAAATAATCATTAAAATAGATAGGTTTATTGGAATTTTAAATAAAAACATTGATCGATGGAATTTATTGGGGGGACAAATTATAAGAACGTCCTGTAGCAGTTAGCAGATCTGCCATCATCATTATTTAGCTAATGGGTAGCCATATCTTATTCTCAATAGTGAGGTTTAAAATAGTGCGGATATCTCCTTTAATGAAGAAATAATTTTCGGAGAAATCGCATATAACCATGTATTTATTTTTGATATTTAAGATATGAATGGAAGAATGATAACTAGATAGCAATAAATGGTTGACGTAATAAATTAACTCCTCCAAAAAAAAAGAAATAAAATATTTAACAGCCTTTGATTGTTACTTGGGCAGTCCTACCGACAGAACCCCCTTGTTTAAAGGAAATGCAATCATTGTCTTGGCATTAAATATATCTAGTTGTTTTTGAATTAAAAACGTGCAGGTGCTATAATCATATTCACCCATATAGCAACTAGTGAGTTAGTTCAATATATTTTTACAATTTTATAATGGGTTGCCTGTAGTGATGCAAAATCGCTCCATTAAGCTGATTTTTAAAAACGGCAAACTTAGTATTTTATCCAGAAATATATTAAGCAAGCCTGTAGATTTTGCTCATAGATGGTACAAAGGTTTGAACATCTATTAGCAACTCGAGGCTTAAGGCAATATTTTCAACTAAAATATAGAGTTAGTCACTTTTTAAAATCAGTTAAATGGAGCAATTTTGTATCACTGGGTGCCTGGTTTAGCCATTAATATTCGCAGATTAGCATTGACAAATATCAACTTCTTTGGTGTATTCTACAAACACGCATAGTGTGTGTATCATTTGATTATAATTTAGCCAATACTCAATTTTTAACATAGACAGAGCCCATTTTAAAAAAAATCATAAAATGGATCGTTTAATTAACTGCTTATATTTTCAATTATTCTTTGAAACAATATATAAAATTATTTAAAATCACTAAATTTTAAAAATTCGGGCCATGACGGGCTTGGAAATGCAAATTTTTCGAATTTCGAGTTGGATTGGGCTTAAAATTTTGACTTCACCGGGTATCTACCATAAATTGAGTGTCGCCTTCTTAATTTGACAAGTACGATACAAACCTAATAAAATACAGTCTACTAAGTCTGGACGTGAATAATATGGAGAATAATGACAGGAAATTTATCGCGTATAACATCAGAGTAAGATTCAACAATGTACCCGAGGTGATGCACCGGCAATTAATTTACAATACTACCAGGCATACATCTAAAGCTGTAGGGGCAACTATGACACATAAGACCGACGTAAAGCTTGTATGATATAACGGCAGTGCTATCAAGATCGTAGGCATAGCTTGAGTTAAGTGAATTATGAAGGTAACACTCAAATTCTGAAGGCCATTGTGGTGGATAGTGACAAGTGCTCTCTGCTAGGACGCACATGGCTCCATGCTTTCAAAGATATATTGAAAACACGTGCCAGGGTATCTTAGAAGATGAGCTCGACGAAGTAACTGAAAACATGTAAAAACCTTAAATCAATATTCACAAGCCTACCGTAAAAATGCAAACGAAAATTCACCCAAAGTATGAGGCCACACCGCCTAATATGAATCCACTTTATTAACTATGGCAAAAAATTCCAATTCCTCTAGTAACAATATGAGTACTAGAAAAGGCACGTCATTTGGAAAAAAAATTTATGATAAAACGCTAGATATATTAAACACAAAGTTTCTGAATTTTCTTTAAATATATCAGTTCCTAGTGAAATAGTTGGAGCTATAATTGGTAGAAACGAAAAAGGGTTTAGGACCATTGCTTAATGAAGTCATGCAAGGATTCGTGTGTTTAAGAAAGTCAATCCAAACGTACTTTATAATAAAACCTAAAGATACATCACTAACTAATGAACAATCATGATCGTTGAATCATTGAAAGTCTGTACGGATGCGTGCAAAAAGGCTTTAAAGATAATGATCAATAAGTTAAAACAAAGGGGAGAAGAGAGATACCTCCTAAAATTTTGGCACACAATAACTTAATTGGTAGAATTATTGGAAAAAAAGAAACAATGTCAATCAAATTATGGAGAGTCTGATGCACAAATTACAGTATCAAGTGGTAATAGAGATTTAGACAATTTTATTTTGGAAAGAACCATAACAATTAAAAAAAACTTTTAGACAAAAGTAATTAATGCTCAAACAATGATTACAGCCAAACTTAAGAAGAGCTACGAAAACGATTTAGCTGTGACAAGGGACTACATGTATCAAGATCTACCCAACTATGAAAACCTTAAAGATAATTCTGACATGGCCAACTATTTCCATTATGGCGCTGACGGTGGCAGAGTAGATAACTATTTTTAACGCCTTTAACACGATTCAACATGTCCAAGGAGAACATAGGGAGGGTTACCTAAAGGGCGGAATGTTGAAATAATTAATTTGTTATTTGATAATTTAAATTTTGTCTTTATATATCCTTAAGATATGTTTAATTTTATTTTAAAGTTATAAATTTGTTATTTTTTTTGTATAACTTTAAACGATTTTCATATTAGTTTGATTGTATTAGAATCTATTAACCAACCTTAAATTTTTGTAATTTATATTTTGATAAACAATTTAAATTGGTATATATATTATATATAATATATATACGATAAAAAGGATCGATGATGATTTTAAAAAAAATAGATAAATATAAATTTAGAATAAAATTATTTGATCAAAACATGAAAATACAGAGATATATATCCCATTCACTTTTATTACATCATTTATCAAAAAACAGTAATGCTTAAAAAGATAGCGCTTTGTATGCTTAATTTTTTTTTCTCAAAATTATAAAAAAAAACGAAGTAATAATTTTCTTAACGAGAATTTTAATGGCTAGATGATGATATATAATCTGTGACTTTAATCGAAATATTTTAATATGATTTGGTATAAGAAAACGCCGGCATTGGCCTTTGAAAGCCGCACGTATTCTCCGGATATATTTGAGATATTTTTAAAATTTTGATTTGTAAAAATATTTATCCACTATATAACTAACATACAGTTTCATTTATTTAAAAAAGAGGAGTCCGAATCAATCTTATTTTTGGTTTATTTTGATCCCCCTTTGGAAATATTATTCATTTATTTCAATTCTGTAGGAAAGCGTTGGCATCTTTAATTAACAAAAAAATATGTATATTTAAACAAAGGCTGGGTTTTATTTTTATATAATAAAGTCCAAGAAAAAAGGTTTTTTTTTAAACTTGAATTCGCTCAGAGATAATTCGGTAGTATCTATATCGTCCTCCAATTTTTTGGCCAAATTTTTGCCTACGGCGTTATATAAAAACTTTTCCATTAGACTGAAATCAGAAGAAGAGAATGGGGATTCGTGAATCAAGGTCCTAATGATCTAAAATTGCAAATTTAAAGTTCAGGATAATTTTTCCCATAAAATATACGAGAATAAAGAGAGGAGGGGAAGGAAGGAAATAAAAATGATATAAATTAGTTTTAAAAAATATACAAATGGTTATAAAAAACTGATTTAAAAACAAAGTCAGGGTGATTACAAAGAATAATTAAATTTTACGATAGATTTATAGTCTCTTATTCGTTTGTTGTGCGATTTAATAATGTTAGGATTGATTGTATTAGCAATTTTCATTTAAAAAAATTATGTATAAAATTTTGACCTTTCCATTGGCCACTATTAAGGATTCGCCATTGTGAGCTAACAAGGTTTTGAGGCTGAATTCCGAATGCAATTTAAATACATTGTTTTGTTTCGTCGTCATCGATGTGTACAATTCAAGGCTCTTTCTTTTAAATGCTTCCTGGTCAATATTCTATACACAAAAGTTTACACTACTACTTATAATAAAAATATCATTAATACGAGATCAAATATCTAAAATTATGAAAGCAAAGCTAAACTGAATTTAGTGGGGAAGTGAAAAGTCTCGTATAAGAACCGTGTTCATAATTTAAAATATGCTTTTTATGGTTAATGATAAAAAAAATTTAAACCCCTTTATTTTAAGTGTAATCATAAATCATTGACGATAAAACAATACTCTATCCTAAGTAAATTGAAATTAAATTGCAAAAAAACAAATATTTCACCAAACAACCTACACTAATAAATACGCATATTAAAAAAAACAACTTTACCGTGACACCATATTGAGCAAGTATCTTCTCAATCACAGCCTTGAATAAGTGAGCATCTGTTAAGATTTCTTTATTAACGTTATTATTGTTACTATCAATAACATCATTGTATATAGAACTCAAAGACTCTTTATCAATTTTGATCAATTTATTTAGGAAGAGTTTGACAATATTGATATCTTTCTGACTTTCCAGCGCGCTTTGGGAACATAATTTCACGGCCCAATTTTCGATTATGTATTTTATATCAAATTTTTTATCACCACCCAAAAGGGATTCGACGGGGTTGTGAACTATGGCTATTCTGGAATACATCGAGCTTTTCTATGAGTAAATTCAAAAGTAGAGAACGGTTAAAACAATACCCATAGTTTTGGAGAGTAAAATAAAATTTTATATTCATATATTCATTTTTTTGTTATAAATTATATGATTATAATATTGTTATTTTTGTATCTGGGTTTAAATTAGGCACATAAAATTTTTTCGCCCATGCCAGTAAAATCAAGTTGTCTTTCTCAACCCGAAAGGACTTAGAGCCGGGCTACACTAATCTCTAAGGCATAATATAATTCGTAAATATTACAAGTTTCAATGACCTAAATGATGAGATAAGAATTTCACATTAATCTTACCTAGCTTATATTTAACACATTTCTTATAATTATCTATTCATCTTTCTTTCTTTTTTTTTCCATTCTTTCCTTCATAGCATTGTAATCATTCTAACCCAAATAATATCTTAAATTTATAAGATAAATTTAAGAGTTTTATTACCAAAAATTTCAAAGTGCTTAAAATGAGTTTCTTTCCTGTAAAACTATCTAAATCGGTAATTAGCCATATGGTGATTGGTTTAACGGATGAATCAGCTAGATAAATAGAATAATAAATTGCTTGATTGAGGTCAAGTCATTAATGAATAAATAATTTATCGTTAAATTTATTTAGTATAAAATTATTTCTTTATTAATTAATTTTTTTTTAATTCATGGAATTGCAAAACAAAAATAATAATTCTAATAAATATTTTGTTAAACAATGGATATGAAAATAACATTATAAAATTTCCATTTTATGTCAATTAACTTTTTTTGTATAGGTAAACCAAGTCTTCGGAAACTATGTGAGGCAAATAGGGAGTTATCGAATCGTCATCATACCTTAAGGTCTTCAAATCAGCTATATACAAGGGAATAATTTTCAAAAAAAAATTAAATGAGGGTTTTGGACAGTGTTATGTCCGTTCGGTTTATTGTTGTGGCAAACGGAGAACTAAAATATTTTCCACGAACCTACTGCATTTAACATATAAAAACATATTCAGAATTAATTTTAAGAAGAGGGGGAAGGGGTTAATGTGAACCCCTCCAAATAAAGTAGAACCTAACTCAATTTCGAAGTAGTTAGATAGAACCATATAATATCAAGAGACGATGAATTGAAAAATAATGTTCATAATTGCAGGATTAGCTTTAGTTAAACAGCAATTTAAAAAATGATTTGGTAATCGAATGTTATTGATAGGTTCACATGAAAAAATCATGGCTTATAATTTTAAAATTATATAAAAAAATCAGAGAAACCGGATATGACCTAGAGCGTTTAATTTCTAAGCAATAAATATTAAGTGTGTTTTTAATAAATTTTTAATTTTAAAAAAGGTAATAATTATAAATTGTTTTTCTTATTTAACATTTAAGAAATTAATATTAATTTTAAAAAATAATTATCCAAAAGGAAATTTCATATTTCTTTCTTTCTAATGAACTTCTTTATATACGAGGTTGAAAAAAAAAGAAAGATCCTAAGATAAAAATTTATTTCGAAAAAAAAAATTTTGAGAAAATCAATGGATTGAATTTTTATGTTTAATGGTTCAGATCAAAACATATTCAGATTTTTTTTAAAAGGGGACTTTATAAATAAGTCTACAAAAAATGGCAAAAACTCACAACTTGTATAATTCAATATTCTGAAATCGAGATATTTTGCTGTAATGCTCAAGATGTTTTTATTTATTCTTGGTAGCACGTTTGAACGTTGGTTGAGATAATCTATTATATCAGTTCTATCGTTAATGACGTTCTTTGATGGGATGGATAATCATTTTTATTTTTTAAGTTAATTATGATATATATTTATTTCCTTTCTTTTTTTTTCCCCTCCCCTCCTATTTAGTATAATTTGTTTTTGTTTGTAGTGCGATAAAGAATATATTATTATCTACTAGATGATGAATATCTGTATGTAAAGTACACACGAATTAGATAAGAATATACAATTAGAAAATATTTAACCATTTATTTTATTACAAACTTAATTCTTAAAAATAAGTTATAAAAATTAGATTTCATGATTATAGTACGGTCTTTAAGGACAATTAGACAAACTAGTTTAAACTCTGAAAATACTATTATTTTAAGGCAATCGTTGATCTCACTTAAGTTTTCCTAAACTTAAGTGCATATATTTATATAGTCTTACATTAAAATAGGCCTCATAATAGGTGTAATAAGCTTTGGTGACCAAATTGGTGATCTCTTTTTCGAATAAAGTATTATCGATCTGAAATAAGAATAATGACATGTAATTAATCAATTAAAGAAAAAAATACTAATTACTATTGAAAGTAATTATAATGTAACTCCAACATTTGTTTATTTTTAAAATTAATTTCTAAAATAATTATTATTACTTTTCTTTAATATCTATCTAAATGTATAATATTAAATGTCCTAGGCTAATGCCTTATTAAAACGTCCAGCGTTTGAAAAATCTGAAATGTGTCAGCCATTAATAAAGAATTCTAGTGAAAATTATAAGTATTTTCTACTAAATGAAATATCAATATAATTTCACAACATAATAATAATTAAAACAACTATTATTTTTAAAATTAAAATCTCATCCTTATTTAATTCATTGGTAGTTTATGGTAAAGTGCCTATATGTTTATATTATATAGAGTAGTTTTAAATCTATTTAAAATAAATGTAGTTAATAATTTATTTTAAATTTTACAGGATATGTTATAGATACTTTGTTTATGATTTTAGAATATAAAACTATAAGTATAAAATTCCCACCAGAAAAAAAATCATCCTTCATTGCTCCATAATATTGAGTGATATATAATATATATCCACTTTTGCTCAATTATTAAAACCTTATTCAGATCAGTTCTTGGCGAATGCAAAGGAGTATTTAATAATAAAGAATCGTCGAATTTATATTAGGGATATGTGCAGCTTATGGAGAATATTACCGACTTCTAGTGCAGAAAATATATCTACAATTAAAATAACATTAGAAAACTTTTCATTATTTTCACAATATTATTTTATCTATGTGTATATCGTAGATTTTAATCAGAATGATAATGTATCGCAAAAAAATGAGAGATCAACTTAAAAATTATTTTAATTTAGGAAAATATTATATATATATCTGCTTGTAGAGATTCTTAGCCCGAATTAAAAAGGATGAGGGTTTGCCTCAGGTTGGAAGTCAGCTACAAAACATTTCAATTAAATGACTGACATTCCAAAAAGTAAGGGTGCTACTTTCAAGAGATGTAGAATGCATTTACTCCCGTGCAATGTGAAAAAATAAAACAGAGTTACGGTAGCTCTTACACAGATATTGGTTAAATAGAGATATACTTTAAATTTTGATAACAGGAAACCTGTGATGAATTGATGGAAATTGAAAAGGGAAGAATTATTGAACATATATTCAGGATATATGTCGCTAAATAGAGCATATTAATAACTCCTTATGTAACAATAAAATGCTTATGATTCCTAAAGATTAGAAAATGGAGGGGAGTTCTGATTAAGGTTCTTTGATTTAACGCAGTTCTGATGGTCATATGCTTTGGCTTCAAATTTTTAAAGCAATTTTAAAAAATATAGGCAACAAATCAACCATTAAAAATGACTCACTCAACATTTTGAGCAAACAATACGCGTAAAAATCTTTCATTTTGACAATAGGTTTCTGGGAGTTTAAATGAGTTCTAGCTCAGATTCCAGTTCCTATAAATTTCAAAAGGAGGTTCCAGGTTCTAGTCCAAAACTCTTATTTATATATACACACATATTATGAAAAAAATGGTATAAATTTTGATCATTAAAAGATCAAAACAAAACTTGGGTTACAATCATTTATGATATAGGATATCCGATTTCTTATTAAAACTAATTTAGTCGACAATATTTCCCTTTTTAAAATTCTTGGATTATGTTATATTTATAATTAATTGCCTTTGGAAATATATAAACGTAGGAACCATCATAGGATGACTACTCGTGGGCGATCACTTTTAGATCATCGGGAGAAAAATAGGGTCAATATTGTAAGTTAATTAAATTTTAACATGGAGTAAACCTAAATGGCCAAGAATAAGAAGATGGTTGGCCTTTGGAAGTTTTACATTAATTATGATCTTTATTTTTAACCGATATCCACAATAATTAACGCTCATAATTATTTTTTTTAAATTGGCCAATCGGGAAAAAAATGAGCTACAACAGATGAAAAATTTCCTATTTCTTTTTACTTTTATTATGAAGAATAAACATATGATAAAATAAATTAAAAACCAAAAGTTTAATTAATATTTAAAAGGTAAATTTTTATAAGTTAAATTTGTGGAAAGGAGACTGTTAAGAAATTTTTGTAATATATTTTTTCTAACTTGTTGCTTGGTCATAGGAACGCCATTAAATAAAACTTGCGGTAATTGCTCCAACCCAGAATTTTCGTAATATTCACGTCCCGTCTTATGATATATGCGATAATATGTTTAATAATGTAGATAAATGGGATGATACTTGCTGATTAAATTCAAATCCTTATATATATAGATAACTAAGGTGTAATTATAATTGTAAAAAACTTTACACAAGGTAAATATTATTTTAACAAGACTAAGCTGTCTTTCTAAGTTAAGAAAATATTGTTGTTACAAATTTCATATGTTTCAAACATACAATAAAAATTTTTTTATATGATTAATAATATTCATAGTTCAAAAAAATGATTTAAACATGATACATTACTTAATTAAAAAAATAAGAAAATATATTCCATTAAAACTTTGTCAAGATGAACATTTATTTATATATTAGCTTCTTACTTTAGTTTAAAAAAAACTTGGTTCTAATATCGGACTCACACAGATCCGACATTCGTTCAGACACCCAGTAACTGTATTTTTTTTTCAAATAAAAAAATATATTATTTTGGCTTTACTTACATCTATATCGTGATTGTATTTGGAATTGGAAGATAATTTAAGGCAGTCGTCTCTGGTCAGTCCATATTTAGTTGATATCGATGAGCAAACAGCGTCAGATATCACGGAGTATTTGTCGTAATTTTTACTTGGACCCGTTTCGATAATGGCATGATCTAAAATCTTTGAGGGTGGAGAAAACGAAAATATAACGTGTAAGTATGTTAAGAGATATTATTTGTTTTACATTTCTTTCACTATTTTTGGATGATATTAATCTTAATAATTAAGTTCCAAAAAAACTAAAGATCCTCTTATAAGGCCATTTTCAAAACTTTCTTTTTAAGGTGGTGGGAGAGGAAGACATTGGCTTTAGAAAGGGCATCCTACCATAAATATTTGCTCAACCCATCTCTAGACATGATATTTATGATTTTTGTAATAAATAATTTTAAAAAATAGGGCAATGTGTTTATATTTTGCATATTATTTACAAAATAAATGGCGATCTTTATATAATATATAATAAAAGAGATGTAAAAACTACAAAATCTACAAAAATTTATATCAATATTGTTATAAATTTTACTTTATTTTTTGCATTTAATTTATAACTTAAAATAATTTTTTCAAATGTTTAATATACGACAAATTTTATCCAAGTAATACCAATAAATACAATAAATTCATTTTTTTCTAATTCATTACCTAATTTATAATCTACAAATAATTTCCATATTACCAAATCCCCTAAGTAGTGATACTATTGTCAATCCAACAAATTTAATCTTGACTAGAGGTTTGCAATGAGCGGGTTTTAGCCAAAAAACCAGCCTATTCATTGTTTTAAATTTATTTTTAGCCCGTCCACCCTTATAATTTTTTTAACATACCCGCCCGCTAGCCCATTTATCTATAAATTGTTTGACTCGCTAAAAATTGGCCCATTGTGGACCTCTAATCTCGGCAATACCAAGAAAAAAATATACAAACTGGAATAAAGAAAAAATAAAAATAGCGAAAAAATTATTATCTATATCCTAAATGAAAATGAAAGATGTCGCAAAATTTATAAATATGTCTTTATCATCTATAAATAAATTAAGACGCGAAATTTTTCCCGAAATCATAGAAGACCCTTTGAAATATTATGTAATTGAAAAGAGAGGTAAGAAAAAGACGCCTCACTGAATGAAAAATAATGGGTATTTAATGGCTAATAATACAGTTATAAAGATATTATAAAAAATTTACCTCCCAGATTTCCTAAAAATGAAGGAACTAAAAGAACAATTTTTTTAAAAAATAGGGTTGTCCAGGTGCAGGAAAAGAACCTGATGGGAAAAACGCACAACAGGATGCTATATACGCCAAATTTATTAAATAAAAGTGTAGCCAAATAAAAACGTGACGCCAACGGTGAAAGTCCCTTTATCAAAAGGTAAAAAAATTAGTACTTGTTGAACTCAAAGGTGTGATACTTTATAGCATTATCCCGCATAATAATTTATTATTTCGAGATTATATCATAAAACTTATACCCAATTTTATGGACAAAGCTTCGATCCATAAAAACTATCCAATTATTAATAGCTTTAAAGAGCGAATAAAATATTTACAACCCTATTCGCCGCAGCGCAACCCAATAGAGAATTTCTATGGAGTTTTAAAAAAAATATATATTTCAGAGTTGTTAAAATATCTAGATATAAAAATGTGGTATATGTAGAGGTATCTGTATCTGTTTTAGATACTTTTTAAGATACATTTTAAGGTACTTTTATTTAAAGCTTTTTTTATATTATAATTTAAAATACTTGAATGCAAAATTTATTTTATTTCATTTGAGCATATAGTTTAAATATATATTAAAGAATATTAAGACTACTATAATAAAAAATTATATATATATAAAATATTAAAACCTATATATAAATATATATATATATATTATAAACATTCATTAGATATTATGTCCGAGTTTACCAATAAACCAGATATTACAATCCATCTCATGGAATCTGCCATTTTTATTTTCAATGGAATTGGTTAATAATATTTTATTAAACTAATTTTAAAAATTTATTTTAGATTAATATTAATAGTGATGAAGAAGAAGAAGTGATAAACAATGAAGCATCAACAAATTCAGAAATTGTTTTTCCAAGGGCAATTTTTAGAGCATATTTTAAAATAATATCTCAAAATAAAGAAAACAAATCCCTGATAGTATGTTTGCCATATCTACCAAAAAATACGAAATCATTAACTCAATTTACAACATTGTAAAACATTTAAGGGCATAGATACTAAATAAATGTTTACAATTCTAATTTTAAATTTTACGAGAAAACATCAAACACTGTTAATGAAAATAAAAAGTGGGAAGGAGAATAAATGTATTAAAGAAAATATTGAACTAGGCTCATTGTCTACTGATACTTTTGCCAAATAACCTCAGACTTGAACCCTAACCACTTTAGATGTTTTAATAACTGCTTTATTATAGCTAGCATTCAGCCATTTTCAAATATTGAAAATCCTTCATATATTCACAAAAAAATATAATTTGCCGACAAATAGTGGTTGGTAGTTCCCAGATGAGAAAATGAAATGAAAACAATCGCTAATATGTACAACAGGAGATTGTTGGAGTGCCTATCGCCGGTATAGCTAACATTTAAATTTGTATAATAATTAATTAAAAACAAATTATTTGAGCAGTTTTAAGAAATGTTAATTTTTAATTCATACATAGGAGTCACTGCACACCATAAAGATCCAACAAGTTTGGAAATAAAAAATGGAGCGTTGACTTGTAAAAGAATGACTGATGATAAAATAGCAAAGAATGTACAAGATATAGCAAAGAATTATAGCATTCAAAATAAAATAACAAAGACCATTACTGTCAATGCCAAAAATTTTCTAAAAGTTTTTAGGTTTATTGTATTATAAATATAAACCTAATATATGATTAGGATTACTTATTTATTATAGAGTTTCCAAACCAATTGAAAATACTAGTGGATCCATGGATGATCTGGAAGATGAAGAAGCAGTTGTACCAATATCAATATTAAGTCTTTATAATATTGCTCAGGATTTTAAAATATCAGAATCATATAGTTTACCTAATCAAAAATGTTGTGCCAGTGACACATTGAATCTTGTTGCCACTGTGGATGCCAATAGTATGATTGTTAATAATGATTTAAATTTTGACACTCAACAAATTTTAAATAATTTTTTCAAAAACTAATGTCGAGAATTTAGTATTTTTAAAGAATAACACCACAATCCATTCAAGAGCCCAGGTAGAAAAACTTTTTATTGTAGCTAAAAATATCTTTACAGATAAATGTGGATGCCTTAATGACCAAAATTTCGAAAATATTTTATTACTGAAATCTAATAATTATTTATAATCATTTAATCGTATACTTTCATATATAATATTATTATATTAAAATCTAAAAAATTATTGTTATATTTTGATAAATGTGATATCGAGTCCATAAATTTTTTAGCTCATTTTATGAATGTATAATAAGAATTGTATCTGTATCTAGATAACTTTTCAGACATTGTATCTGTATCTAGATCTATTTTAAAAGTATCTTTTAAACTGATATATATAATTCCAGACCAAATACAAGAAATGAAGTCGTTCATAAAGTAACCTGGATTCTTAATCAAAATATTCCATATGACTTTTCCAATTATTATAGTAACATGCATCACTATTTGGAGATTGGTATCGAGGACAGCCAATGAAAATAAATTCATAAAAATATAATTTACATTGAAATATATTTTAGGGTCGTAATAGATCTGAATGAAGAAAAAACAAAATTTAAAAAATTTAAATTACAATATAGTTTTTACATCTGTTTTATTAAATATCATATAAGGATCGCCATTTATTTTGTAAGTAATATGCAAAAATATAAACACACATTTTCTTATTTTTTTTAATTGTTTGTTATAAATATCATGTCTTACCTTGTAAACAGGGAAACCTATAAAACCGTATAACTCGAATAAATAAAATATCAAAAGAAAAAAAAAGATTAAACCCAAGGACACTTTTTGGAAATCTAAAATATTACGGACTTCATTCAGTGCTAATACTGTTTGTTTATCTTTATCGTCTGTCCTAATTTCTTATTTTGGAAAAATTCTTGATATCTGATAACTGTTAAAAAAATAAATACTTGAATCAATAAATCAAGCGCCTCTATCTTTTTCTTACCATTGATGTATGCGTAATTGAAGGCGGAATGCAGGAGCAAGGACGCGTTGTTATATTTGGGATTATCATTGATGTTACCGTTCGAATCTAAATCTTCGTAAACTAGAACGATACCTAAACTATGAGAGTAATTAATAAATGTTTAGTCCGAGTTGCATTAAGCTGTCACTCATTCTGTCTTACTCATATATTCCATTATTTGTAGTGTTGTTAAACGACTCGATTTAAGCCGATTTTTAAAAACGGCTTATTCAATATTTTAGCCAGAAAAATATTGCCTAAGCGGAGATTTCGCTAATAGATATTCAAACCTTTGTATCGTCGAGCAAAATCTTTAGGCCGTTTTTAAAAATCGGCTCAAATCGAGCCGTTTAACAACACTAATTATTTGATTATCAGTTTTATATATTTTATTTACATCAATTATTATATGTAAAGTTACTATTAATCATGCTTTAATATTCGTGAGTTATAATCATTTAATCCATTATAAATATCTTTACTGGATGCGAAATTTTAGTGATATCATAAAAAATTGATAATTTATTTCCTAACTTTATATATAAACAAAACTTTAACAGTCCTTACTTTTAAACTGAAAGCTAATATCGTTAAATTCTTATCATCCATCCAAATTATTTGGAATTATAATCTAAAACTTATTTTCAGATCTATTATTTTATGATGAGAAAATTGAGGAGACCAAAATTTCCATATTGGTATACTTAACTGAAAAGGCTGATTATTTTTGTGGAATTTTTGAAATTCCTTGAGCAATTTGAGCGTTTCTAAATCGATGTTTAAATTGTTTTGATCATTTCCATCTTTTTGAGAGGGGAGAAAAGATAAAGGGGATAAGAGCATTATAACGTTGAACAGATTTTTACGGATCTCAGTTATCATACCAAACCAAAATGTTTGCTCTAGTATGTTTAAGCTACCGGCCCATTTCTTGTACTCATCATCTATTTCTAGATCGTTCAGATACTTGTGTAAGTCATGGTTTAATTTTTTTTTTTAATTTTTTACATTGAATAATATAAATATCTAATACATTCTTCAATGTCAATTATATAAATATACACAAATAATAAAACAAATTATTTCGTTCCGGACCAAAAAAACATTTTAAATTAAATCGATTAGATAAAAAGAAAAAATTCAACTCCAAATTTGTCAAATAAAGCTGCTAAATATATATCGAACGGCACAGAATTTTGTTATATTTTTCATTATTAGCTAACATTGTCTTCTTTCTATCATTTTTCTTCTTTCTATCATTTCTTCTTTCTATCATTTTTCTTTTTCTATCCTTTCTATCATTTTTCTTCTTTGTCTAATATAAAACCGTTCATCAATCCATATTTTTCCTTCCTTTTTTGATTTCCCAGTCTTTTCTTTTTCCCAAAGTAGTATATGCATAATATTTTTTGTTCTATTGATTTTTAAACACTAACCTTTATAGCTTCGGTGTTTTTGAAATCTAAAGCAATTTCTTCTTCTTTCAACTCTACGCCTGTGCTAAGGATATCGTACATATCTTGTCCCTTAAAAAAGTAATTAAATAAAATTTACATAAGTGTACATGATTTATAATTAAAATTATGTAAAGTCCTTACTGGTTCTTTCGTTCTTCTTTCTTTCACTCTCCTTTGAGATTTATTACAATGAAAAATTGCCGTAATAGTAGTGTGAAACAACTTACCATAAAAAATAATTATTAAAATTCACTGCATAAAAACTAAAACATCAGTTTAACAAATTGCATTTTCACTCGAAATATTCATAGCCCTCCATTATCTCAATAAATTAAGCGGTCACTTTCATTAGCCCCCTCATCAAAAATCGATTATCATATTTTTAATAAGCTTTCTTTAGAAAGAACGGAAGAAAGAAGAAAAGAAATAAATAAATAAAGTAAGAAAGTAAGAAAGGGCAAAAGGGCGCATTTGAACGGGGCTGAATGAGTTGAGAATTTAAAAAATTTAAACTTGAATGCCATAGTGGTGTAAAACGTTCATGGGCTTGATCTCTTTTCGCAACGTTTGAAGCATGTCGTATATATTGAAATTATCCATATCAATTTGCATCCTATTTATATAAAAGGCTGAATCTCCTTTGGCCAAATTGAGCAACTCGAATGTCTATTTAAAAACATTAAGGATTTTTTTTGAAAAATAATTAATTTTTTATAGGGTTTGTAAAGGTTTATAGATACGTGACAAGATTTGAAGAAATTTTTTTTATAATATAGCGTTAATATGGGGTGAAAATCCTAGAAATTTCAAAAAAAATAGCTCCTGGTCTTGATTCATTTTTTTCTAAAGCCTTGCCGCCATAAATAGGAAATTGAAAAGCCATTCATTAATCCATCTGTATAATATTTGATAATTTGAAATGTGTAGATTTACTCATTGTTATAAACTTATATAAACCTCGAGTTGATTTTTGGCGATTTCCTTTTGAAAATCTTTATCCACTTTGATTCCCGTCAGGCTTGGAGCTCTGGACGGAAAATTTTGAGAAATGTCTTTCAAAATTTTTAGTCTTTCGTCAAACCGCTGTGCTTTCGTAACGATCTGAGCGGCCTGAAAGCTTAAATCTGATTTTTCGATTTAAATATGTTTTATTTAAAATTGATAATGATATCTAATATCTAGAATTTAAATAAAACACATTTTCATGATATCGTTAAAAGTTTTTTGGGGTTATCGATCCAATAAAATCTACCAATATTAACCACTCATTGATCTTGTATATTTGTTTATATATATAATCGTTAGACGAACAAATTAGATTTCAAGTGACGAGTCATATTAAAAAAAAATAGCCATCTTTGAAAATCTGTATATTTTTTTTATTGAAATGGTGTCTGTCATTTCCTGGTAGAAATAGTACAAAGGAGTTAAAAAAATTAGATTAATTTAATACAAAACCTTGCGTTTCCCAGGCTTTCAAATTTTGGATCTCTATGTTCTGTTCGATCAATTCGTCTTTTATTTTGTTGAGTTCCATTTTGTAATCCGCATAATTTTCGCTTTTATAAAAATAAAATTACATTAATAAAATCATATTAAACTACACTACTGTCACCATTTTTTCAAATTTTATTTTCAACACTCTTTGGTCATTTAAAAACCAGTTTTTTTATTTCTAAATAAAAATTAATAGACCTTTCGAAAAATCAATTCTAAACATAGACTTTTATTAACATATACTGCCCTACGCCCAATATAATGTTATAAAAACATCTTTCATTTGGTAGCCATTTGCAAACTATCAACCTTTATTTTAATAAGTCTAATACAAGATATACCATTTTTCAAAAAGATATAATATAAAAATAAATAATTATTTTAATATTAAGAAGAAAATAAATTAACAAGAAAATTTCCGCAAGATGAAGCATTTTTAAAAATTTGATTTGTATATTTTTTTATATAACAAAAATAGTGGTTTATTTACAATAGAATAAATATAATACGACATAGATTTAAAATTCATGTAAACATTTTTTTTGTTCAGCAAAAATAAGAATGTATCGTTTCCATATGTATATACATTTATTTATATATTTTTTTGTTTTTACTAATAATTACATACTGAAATTTTCTTAAACTTAATCTATATATATATATATAATGAGAATTAATTCTGATATATAATATCATAAGTGAAAATATAATTCTATAATTTTAATTAATATTGTTTTTACTATTTTATAATTTACAGACATAGTGTTAATATCTGACTTTTTTTTCTATTATTTTTATTCTTAATCACTATTATATAGAATAGTATTTGGCTTTGAATCAAAATGATATTTATTTTAAAATTATTTATGTTTACAAAAAGATCTTTTAAGTATGTGGACCCATGTAGTTAAAAAAGAATTTATCATACCAAACAAATACTCATCTTTGCATTGCATATTTTTCAAATGAATCTTTTTATCCAACATCTAAAAATTATCATAATTATGGTAATTTTAATTTACCAATTAAATAAATGTATTTTTTAAAGGATTTTTAAATTTTTCCATTAACATAATATTTACAAGCTAAATCTAAAGTTATATGTGGCAATTTCATTGTAGGAAATAAGTTTCTTTTAATTCAATACCTTTATTAATTCAAAATTCAAAACTATAAAGTAACAATTAAATGTAATATATATAAATTTCCCTTTATATATTTGAATGATTTAAAGCATTAATAAAAGATCTGTATGATTTTTATGATACCATTACGAGTAAAAATAAAATTTATTTAATATTATTATTTTTTAACATACATATTTTTTTTTAACTATTTTTTAACATACATATTTTTTTTTAACTATTTTTTAATTTACATACATAAGTTAATATCTCTTACTTATTTTTTTCTATTATGTTTATTCCGACCACTTTATTCTATAGAATAGGATGTGGCTTTAAATCGAAATTCTTGTCTTTTTTCAAATTATATAGGTTTCATTAACAATAAAGCTATTTTAAGTAAGTGGAGTTGAAAGAGAATTTTTTAAACAGCATATGCTAGGATTAGGAATTAGGATCTCTTAGTCATTTCCTAATATTAATTAAACTCATAGTTCCTAGATATAAAAACATTTTAAATAATCATTTTGTGAGAAAAGAAAGCTTAAATTTAAAAATAAACATTACAAATATAATATATTTAGGCCAATAATTCCCTATATTAAACGTATTTTCTTATTTTTATAAACTTTTATGTTTTCATGAATTATTCTAAATTTTTCTTGCAAACTTTTACATAAATTTTAAATTTATGTCATTTTATAATTTGTAAATTAAACCGCTATTTTTGTTATATAAAAAAATAAACAAATCAAAATTTTTAAAAATGCTTTATCCTGCAGTTTCTCATTATATATTATTATAAAAAATTTTTTAATTTTTATATTATATCTTTTGAAAAAATGTTATATCTTGAAATTTATATGTGATTTAAATAAAATAAAAAAATTCATAAATATATGAAATATTTAACGTAAAAATCATTAGAAACATAGACTTATTAAAATAATGCTATTTTACAAATGGCGTATTTAAAAGATTTTTTTTAATCGCTGAGCAGAGTTGTTAATATAATTTATAGTTGCAAATATATTTTTTTAAATGATAGATTATAATATAATCCTTTTTTTCAAATAAATTAACATTTGGTAACAACATTCTGCAATGCATAACCAAAATTTTTAGAAGGGAAAAATTGGAGACGCCTCCCTCCCCCTCCCCAAGTGCCACTTTTTGGGTTTTAGGTGTATATCTTAAGTAATATAGGTTATTAGTTTAAGAATAGATAATGTACTTGGTTTTAAATGTTTTTTTCCCGAAAAATTTAAAAATATACTTTAAAAAATTTAATTATTATAATAATTTTTTTATTCATTTTTCGGGAAGATGTGGTAGGCGGGTTTAGGGATATCAATCTTTTTCAATATTTTTAAGGTGGATCTACTCTCCCATCCCCTTTTATCACCATCTAAATTTTAATTCAAGAAGAATAAATTTTTTGTGTGTTATATGATATAATTTTAAATCTATTGCCAATAAATGTTATTTTAAAATAATAGCATACTACGCTACCCAACAAATTGTGGCAAATGTTTTATATTTACCTTGTAGTCTACGAATTACCTATCAACTCTGATTATTTTTTAAATTAATGATGTCCTAATAGATTCTTTAAAGATGCTATTTAGCATACGGGAAGTATGATACTGTATAAATCAATTTAATTTAATATTTTTATTTTATGATAAATAATGTAATAAAAAATTACAAATTTTTTTATATATAGGTTATTTTAAACTATCATATATTAAGAAAATAAGATTAAACAATGATATATTAGATGGCATTACAATTAAACTTTGTAATCACAATTTTATACACAAATAAAATAATAATTTTGGGTTTATTATAGCATATTTTATTTTTCTTATTACTCTATATTTATCCCTGCAGGTCCAACCTGGCCCTAAGTCCGGTTATATGGGCTGGGCCGTATTTTAATTTTCTTAAACATACACAGGCCGGGTTGGACTTAAAAAAAATTTTAAAAATACCTGGGCTGAGCCATAGCTAAAAAAAATTTTCGGGCCGGGCTGAATATTTTAAATCGTCATTATTATCTATAAAAATTAAAAAGAAATATTATATATTTCAAACCTTTTTAAAAAAAAAATGAATGCCAGGTCAAAAAAAATATTTTACTTTAAATCCGGGGCGGGCCGAAAAATCTTTTTTTTAAAAAATATGGGCTAGGCTGTGCAAATGGTACCTGAAGGCCAGTGCCATGTCGAGACTTTTGGCGGCCCATGGCAAATATATAATTTGGTAGCTCCTTAAAAACCACAATTTATCTATGCTTTTTTGATAATTTTTAATGAAAACTAAAGCATATATATTCTATTAAATTATAATCTTAAATGAGTAACGCACATTATAAAAATGAATATAATCCTTAGTTAAAATATTGCAATTTTATTTATCCTCCTCGCCTTTAATACAATGGATATATTTGAAGGCTTCAATTAACCTATTAATGTTAATATAGTGTAAAATACCAATGAAATTTTTATAAGATGCTTGATTAATATACACTAAAAAATTTAATTGAATTAGTATATATTGCGGATATATATATCGTTTTCTAACGTATCCTAATCTGTGAATAAAATATTTAATTAACAACATTTTTCCTTCTCTTTCAGGCCCATTTATCAATTCTGGCATATTAAATAATAATCTAAAATGATATTTAAAAAGATTTAATCGCTGGAAACGTTCCTCGAACGAATTTCTAATTGATCTAGCAATGCATTGAAAAATTCAATCTCATATTCCTTTTGAAGATCATGTATAGGCGTGTCATCTCTTATGTGAGAAAATTGTTTTTCAACTTTCAATCTATGAATTAATGTAATTGAAGGAAAACACTGCTCTACTAAACTCATTTACGGTCGCAAGCTTTTCGCTAGTAAATGGAATTCTGAAAGTCGCTTTCGTTAAAGCTATCTAAAATATCTTGCGTACCTTCAAACTATAATGACTCTTTTCAATTCAATATTTTGCATGACCTTTTTACTAAATTCACCGGGTCAATATATCCAACCAGATGACAAGTTACCAAAAATGGAAATTGTTTTAATTCTTTAGCCAAGAAATGGCTTCTGTGCAGCATTTGGAGTCGTTAGTTTTTTCGGATATGATCGTAAATATCACCAACCCGATTTCTAATGGCCTTTACACTCTCCATCTTATAGTCCCATTGCGTTTCAGGTAGTGAACGCTAAAAAATGATTTTGCGACTAATGATGATCATACCATGTCACCACGTAGCAGATTTAAGCTGTGGTAATTACAGGGCATAAAAAACACTATCCGATTTATTTGTAATATTTGAGCTTGAACCCATTTATAACATCCTCTCATATTTAATCCATTATCGTAACCTTTTCTACGATTTTTTTTACCTCTAAATGTAATTTTTTAGATAATGATAAAAATGCTTCAAGGTCTGGCCAGTACTGGAATCGATTTTAAAAAAGCCAATAATCGCTCAATTATTTTAAAGGAGTTTTTGTTAAGTTTTACGTATAGTATAATTACGGTTAATTGTTTCTGGTGACAATATTATCCATAAATATTTTGCGTTTTTAATATCATCAACAATTTTTTTTCTATGATTTTATTTCCTATCAAGTTAATATTTTCATTTTGAATTCGATTTCTAAGGAAATGATTATGAATTCACTATTCTTGACGAATGTGGTCGAATTATATTATATCAAATTTCGATAAAAAAATCAAATTTCTTAACTAAAAAAAATCAAATTTTTTTTATTTTCAAAATTAATACATAAACATAGATTGCAAAGAAAAAGAATAATGCTTTGCTTGTATGTAGTATATACAAAAAAATTCTTATTTTTCAAGAGCTAAATATTAATGTTGTTAAAAAACCCCGATTTGCGTCGATTTTAAAAAACGGCAAGATTAAAATTATCCAAAAATAACATATGTAAGCCTAAAGATTTTGCTCATAGCTGGCAGAAATGCTTGGAGATCTATTTGTCAAATCTCGATGCTTACATAATATTATTTTCGTTAAAATATTGATCGCTTTTTAACAACATTACTAAATATAATTGAGTAAAATTACAAAATTTGGCTACCCCTAAAATTCATTTCGGTTTGATATTTATCATAAAATTACTATTAAAACTGTTTATAGAGCTATATGGATGCCCTGCATAAAAAAATTATTGCTGAACTATGAACCCTCATTAAAGGTTTTTGAGCCTTAACCTAATCTAAACCTTTTATAAAAATGAATTCCTGAACAGAACCTAAACCTATATAATTTTATCATATCAAAAGGTTGACAATATATATCAGTAGTAGATAAAAAAATATTATTTACTTTAAACGGGTGAAATTGAAGCCTTGGACTAAGTAATCATCATCATCGTGGAATATGTTAGAGTAATTTAGGTATTGATTATAAGTATCGATATTTTTTTCCTTGTCTGATCTAATTCTTTCGATGGTGTCTATATCAATTGATTCATTTAAAGAATATATTATATGTTAATTTTTAGCTAGGTCAGAAGGCAGAGCATTCGTTATCATTATCTTAATTTAATTCCCGTTTTATATTTTAAACAGATTATTTTATGAGGACCAATATGGTTGATTTAAATTTGCAACTAAAAAAGAATGTTGAGTTCGTAGTTCCTAGCTAGAGATTTGCAAAAGTAGGCCCGACCCGAATTTATTTTTAAAAAAATGGGGTTCAGGATGGGTAGGGTCTAATATTTTTTTTAAAATATATCTAAATTTATCAATTTTATGTTGAATTTTTTATGTAAAATAAAAATGACGCCATATAACATATATCTTTTATTTTGAAAAAATTAATTTCTATATTTAAATAAATTCGGGCCGGTAAATTTTTTAAAAAAATTCGGGTTCAGGCTAGACTGGCAAAACTTTTTTTAAAAAATTTTGGGCCGGATTTGAAAAATTAGGTCTGACGCAGATCACTCGATTTCAGTAAAGAGTTTACAAACATAAATAATGCATTTTTGGGAAAAGTATTTAAAAAATAGTTCACCGCGATCCTAAATTATTAAGAGGAGCCGTATTTTTATGTATGTCCATTATTGGGTATAACTTAATTAATATTATTAATTCAAAAACGTGCATGTGCGAATAAATTTAAGATAAACCTTGATTTTTTTAAAGAAAATAATTTAATTAAGTTAAAAAAAAGATGCCTAGATAAAGAGATGCATCTTGATGGAAGTGGGAGGATCTAGAGGAAGACCCAAGATGACGTATAGCGGCGGATATGAGAAAAATGAATCTCACAATTATTGATGCTCAGGACCGACAAGAATGGAAAAGAAAAATCAGAGAGAAAACTGGCCTGAGTAAACCTGGAAATCTCCATTAAAAGGAGAAGATGAAGAAATCCATATCATACATATAAATTTTCTCAATTTCGTAATCATGAATTATTAAATTTACTTTTGATTCCATCATCGTCTTTCGCTCTGTACTCCGTATTTTTTATGGTCAATTCAACGCCGAACCCGGATAAAAATGTTTTGCGATTATGGTCGACGTCAAGCTTGGTGTCCGATAGCGCGAAAACTGGCCTGAAATAATACTGGATCGAACCTGTTTATTATTTTCCATATTAGGAAAAATTAATTTTAAAAAAAATATATAACAGAACCTCCGAGGCTCAGATCTTTCAATATCCCGTGATTTTTTCGGAAATGGGCTGATCTAAAATCGGAATATAGTACGACAGGTGGTAACGATGCGGCAATACAATCATATTTATGAGTATGCTCAGTAGCGGTGTGCAACGGGCGAGGAGTTAATGGAGAAGGGTATCTGTGATCGACGGATTTGTATATAGTTAACTGCGGATCGTTTTGAAGACAGGGATCGTTTTTGCGAGCCCTTGAAAAATAATTTGAGAATCAAAAAAAATTATTTTATACAAAAGAATTTTGACAAGAAATATGCTAATAAAAAACGATTATTTTGAAAATCGCGAGGTACCTAATTATTCAAAAGAAAAAAAGGAGAAACGACCCATTCATAATGACACTGGTCATTTTAGATGGAATACGGTTAATTAACGGTTTACAACCTATGTCGCGCTATCTAAAAATGCAGTCTTCGAAGAATTACAAAATTTCAGAGGATGCTGATTCCTTCCTTTATTTTATTGCATTTAGCATTTTAGATTATGATTAATACCTTTCAATCATTTTAAAAAGAGCCGCTCCAGGACATTATTTAAAAAGGGCAGAAGTTCAGCTATTTTTCGAAACTCGGAAGCGGGAGTTAACTTCTTTTTGGGATGGAGCGGGGACTTATTTAATCATATTGCATATTTTTTTTAAAGATAATATATTAATTAATGTATTTGTTGTTGAATACAATAAAAATAATAGTTTTTAAATTTATAATATTTAATTATATTTGAGCCGAGTTGTTATTTATATTTTTCTATTTTTGCCCCTTTTTAAATTCAAATTATAAAACCAGATAGATAAGATACTGAAATGGATGAAATAAAACAAAAAATATTTTTCTCTTCTAGAAGAGGTTGAATTGAAAGGAAGTAAGTAATATTGATGATGAATTTTTATTATGTGTTATATATCCCTCTCACCTAGTGTTGTTAAATGGCTCGATTTGAGTCGATTTTTAAAAAAGTCTCACTATTTTAGCAAGAATAATATAGATGTCCAAACCTTTTGTGCCATCTAGGGAAAAATTTTCAGGCTTGCGTAATATTTTTCTGGATATAATATTGTGTTAGCCGTTTTTAAAAATCGACTCAAAACAAGCCTTTTAACAACTACGCTCACCCTTCAAACGATTTTAATAAAATATGGTTTTTTAAGTTCCTTCAATCTCACAAGTAATTTTTGATTAAAATATTAATTTTGTTAATATGAAATACAAACAACAAAAATGGAAAATGTTTCATTTGTAAATTATTTGAAAAAAAATATCATAAAACTAAAATTATTTTAAAAATAGGGAAAATAAAAATTTGGAAAAACTAAAAAGATCTTTTTCGAAGTGCCTCTATATTCCAGGTGTATTACGTTAAGCATTATAAAAAAAACTAAGAAAGCAACGATTTTATTGACTTGCAAAGAAAGAAAGAAAGTTTGACCACCCCTCTTTCCACATTGTAAGGATCAATAGAGTACTTCTCACAACCATTAACTTGGTTGTGAGGTTTTGATTTGGTGTAGCCAATAGCTGAGTCAAGGAGTTGGAGAATTTACCAGCAAAATTTAAGCCCGCATTAACTTTATTAATGAAATTTGAATAATGTATTTCATTTTGAGTCAAAGGTTGTTTTAAACGCTTTAAATATTTGGATTGCTTAGCCCAATCTGGCTGATTATTAATACTAGTTCAGTTTGAATACCAAAAAAATTATTCATCAAGCAAAATGATTCAAGCTTTTATAGAATAAAATTTGTGGGGAAAAAAGTTCTAAAATCTTTTCAAAAATTATCATTAATTAGAAAATTAACAGGACAAAAAAAATGTTGAGAGATGTCAAGACTTCCCCTCAAGTAGATCATCCGTAGGATGCATCCATCTTAGGCATAACTTCCTTAAAATGTGTTCCCTCATCAAAATCAATTCTAGGTAAACGTTTGATCATTCAATGATACATTTGGTGATCAGAGATGGCCAGGAAGTTATAAATAGAATTATTATATATAATATACACTCCTATAATTATATCAATTTGCCCTATTTTACCAAAATTAAATTATAACATAAAAAGGACATCCTAATTAAACATACAAATCCAATACTAATTTTTCACCATATAAGCATATCTTTACTGCAATTTTTCCTAGTCATTAATTGAATTGTATTTTAAAATTGTAGTGAAGAGTTATCAATAGTTACATTTTTAAATAATGGTCACTCTAACCTTAACCCTTACTCTTTTTCTCCATGTAATAGTAAGTCTACATTTTTCAAGTATGTTAACTGTAATCATTCATTTTTTTATAATAGCCAAAACATGAAAGTGATTAATATTGGAATTTATAAATTTTTAAGGATAGTTAATATTTATATACTTGTATTATGGGTCACAAGTTTATAAGTTTCTCTAAGCTTTGAATTAAAAAAATTTATGTATTTATCTTAAATTAAAAATTATTAAGGACCTGGACCATACAACTCCTATAAAGTTATTTCATGGGCTTGGCTAAAAACAAAATCTTTTTTAAAATTTTCAACAGACCAGTTTTGACTTGACTGAGCTCTAATTTATATCAATTATTATAGATCTTGACAGATAAATACTAAACTGGAAAAAAAAATTAAGTATTTTAATTGGAATTTTTAGTTTTTATAAAGATAACGACACTTTACGATATCAGAGAGGGAGATATACCTAACAATCATATTAAGACAAGAGTTCTACAAGACAAGACTGTTGACCTGAGGGTGGGAGATGGTAGCATCATCTATAAAATAAAGGCAAACCTTCTTATTCTTCCTTTTTGCCTGATTGAATAACACAATTACAAAATAAATATAATAAATAAGAGGTTTTTTTAAATAAGGAGGTGGGAAATATCTACTATACATTTTCTTATCATATGCAATAAATAGAATAAAAAAGATAAACACATTAAATTATCAAAGCTATTACAGTATTTATATTTAATACCTAATATTGAAATAAATATTAATTTTGAGCTTGAAATTTCTTCCCTATACACATTTTTTAAAGATTGCCAGACCTAGATCTGAAAAAATTTTGCCATTGGGCCAAAGGTAGGCTTGAAAATTTAGAATTTGCATGTCTCAAATTCAGACTTTTCATTGCTTTTACAAATGATATATATCAGAGACCTGCAGAGGTACCATTTGCATAGCCTGGCCTAGATTTTTTTAAAAAAATTTTTTTAGGACTGGCCAAAATTTTTAAATTATATTAGGTATTTTATCATAATTTTCAGCGAGTGTTATCATTTAATAAGCAAGCATATTACATATTTTATCTTTTTTTATTCTAAACAGATATTTAGTATTATAAATTGATACTTAAAAAATTTGTGTAAATAATATTTTGAGAATATACTATATTAACCCTTCAATACTCTGGTGGGGTATATGAAACCACAGGCATGCTAGAAATGATATTACATAAAAATGGTTAAATATTATGATCTGGATTCTTCAGTAGCTTTATCAAATATGTCTTAGAATCTATATTCCAAATTTCATATATTTCGGTTAAGTAGTTAAGATATAAGCATTTTGTGACTGATTGGGGTTTGTGAGATTCCACCAGAGTAAATTTTTATGTTCTATATTTTTTTTATATTTGAATGTATTAGTGTAATTTTTTTTTTATATTGAAAAATAAAGATCCATATTATGAATTATCATGATTATATGATGGATAAGTTATTTTTTTAATTTTATATTTGAAATTTTAAAAAAGTTTTTTGGCACAAATTATAATTATCCTCATCATCTTTAATCTAGGCTTAAGAAATAAAAATATTTAAATATTTTATCAAACTTAAGGTTAGATTTATATCCAAATATCAAATAAAAATAATGAATATTACTGAAGATATATATATTTGAAATTGGGGTCTATTAAACCCCACTCGAATACAAGCGTCATTTTTTTCATCGAAGTATTGAAGTGTTAATTATATTTATAAAAAAAAATAAAACTAAAATTTATTTAAAAATGGATTTAAATAAAATTTTGAGAATATACTATATTATATATTGCATATATAAAAATAAAATTAATATTTATAAAAATGGAAGTAAATTATATAATCATTATAACCATATCTAATTGACGAATATAATAATCCATGATGTATAAATTTTAAAAAAAAATGTTCGTGGCCCAGCCCGGCTACCCAGGCCAGGGGCTGGGCCTACAGGTTTCTGATATATATATATATGTAATATTAGGTAAATTAATAATGTAAACTATATATTAATTACTGTTTATGTGTACTTGAGTGAAGATATAAAGAAAATTCATTGGCATCACAAAATGATAAATTCTTAAATTGTATATAAAATTTCTGAGAACATAAAATTTGCTGTACATTCCTTTCAAGCATTTTCTTATCTTCCAAATATATCTATAAAAAAAGAATATTATGAAAAAAAAATTTAATTGAAAAAATAAACTTGATTAAATGTTTCAATTTTAGGTGAATAAATTCTTAAAGCTATGGAAAACTTTAAAAAATTAATCCATGTATTTGCATTGTTATTTTTGTAGATATTAGAAGCTATTTTTATCAATAATTTATATTCACTTTTTCCATTAGTATAATATAATTCATCTTTAATGAAGAAGATTAACCTATATACCTTTAACATTTTTAACCTGATCCAAAAATTTTCATGTAATAAGTATTAATCTTTTCAATAAAGTCCCAATATAGTGCTTCATTTTCTTCATTAAAGAACTCACTATTAAAATAATAAATATTTTATAATTTGTTAAAATAATAAACCTTGCTTCAAAAACTAATGGAGTATCAGACCATTGAGTTTGAAGAGTCGTTATAACAGATTTTTTATGATTTTGTACATCAGTTTTAAGATATGAATTACATTTATCATATATTGAAGATATCAGAATATATATGTATAATATAGATTTAACATTCAAACAGTTTAGCATTTCGGAATGTTATTAATTAGAGCAAATACTGCATAAACTCATATGATTAACAGCTTATTTCGGATAACATCGTGTTCTGACACAATTTGATAAATTTAAATTTACATGAATGTTTGCCAAAATATGCTCATCGTCTCTCTTGGAACTTATGCTAAACCCTGACTCGCATTTAAATTTTAGATGAAATAGGATAAAATATATTGCTGTAAAAATTTTATTAATGACTCATTATAATACAATGATATTGCTGGTTATCGCTCAAATCTATATATTGCAAACAATCATAGGCATTATTTTCAAAATAAAATATTCTTCCATCTTTTTAAATGTAATTTAAAAGGGTACATTCTCAGCAAATTCATATTCATGCCAAACAATGTACTATATTAATGTAACCATTGTAAATAAGAGGATTTTTTTAATTGAATTTATGATCTAAAAAATAACTCTTTTACATTCATAATATTTTGATAGTTGTTAGTAGTGCTAAATAATTTTGATTATACTTTTTAAAATTTATGAAAGGAATAACAATTAAAAAGATGTATGTTATAATGTGGAAACATGGCCGCTAAAGGTGGCGATTTTTTAGGGGGGGGGGGGGTAGGCATAGAATTTTGAGGTGGGTTTGCATTCCGTGAAAATCCTGCCATGTAGACTCTGTATATATGTATATTTTTTAATAAATACATATTTATACAGCTTCAAAAGAATGTCGTATAAATATTATCCTTGGATATAAAATTTCTTGGAACATCAGATTGTCTTAGAATAAATTTGAGATTAGGAAATATCGGTTTATGTTAAATATCGTATGGAATATATAGGATGCCCATATATAAATGTAAAGGAAATACATAGAAAGAGTACATATGAAGGAAATGAAAAAATTGATATAACATATTCCCAATGTCGGAATATAGGTAACTACCTAAGATTTTCATGAAATGTGACTAAATGATAGCGAAAATATTATGATCAGAGTTATTTATTACATCGGAAACCTAAATTGTTATATTTGAATGTTTAAATATATTTTAAAAGGTTACGCTATTTGAATTATATATTTCTTACATTTTATATTATCTTATGGAGGTCAATGTAATTGCATATTAGTAGTAGTTAAATGACATAATTATAAAGGACTATATATAGGAAACAATTTTATAATAAAGAATCTATTGTTTTGACTATAAAAAATGGCGACGAAATAAAAAAAAAATCTAAGTCACGCGGTTTTCGGTCTTCGGTCAAGTTTAATAATATATAGAATTATTAAAAAAATTTCTGTTTATAAAAAAAAAATTGTATATATTTAGAAATTATGGATAAAATTATTCTCCAGGACTTTAAAAAGGAGGATTGTTCTATCGAGGACTACGTTGATTATATCAAATATATACTAAATGTGAAAAGTATTCCTCAAACTGACGCCACTTTAAAAAAATTATTTTTAGCATATGGAGGAATAAACATTATAACTGATATCAAAAAATTACTCTATCCTAAAAATATAGAGGAGGTAGGATGGATTGACATATATAAAATAGCAAAACAACTATATAAAGATGAAAGAACTATTTTGGCATCAAGAATTGATTTCATTAGATTAAGTCGCGGGGCTACTGAATCCGTAATGAACTATTTAAAAAATATAAAGGAGCTAGCCCGAAGATGCAAATTTGAAGACAATGTAGAACTGAGAATTCGAGATCAATTAATCGCCGGACTAAAGATGTCACAAATGGATAAAGAACTACGATTAAGATATCCAGAAGCTTAAACAAAGTGGTAGAATTGGCTTTAGCGATGGAACGAGCCGACTTAAAAATAAATAATATTGCTAAAATGGTATATAAAATCAAAGAGCCCATGATAATGATAATCAGATAAATCAACATGATAAAAATAATCGGCAGTATAAGTATAATAATAATGATAATGATAAACGGCACTATCAAAATGATAATAAAGCACATGTAAAAAGACAACTAATGCCCGGGTATAATAACTACCATACAAATAATAATAGTAATTGGAGAAAACCATGCTATTTCTGTAATCGGTTTCATGCTATTAGAAATTGTCCCGCCTACGGAAAATTGTGCAGCAAATGTAGGAAACCAAACCACTTCGCCGTATGTTGTAAAACTAAAGAAAAGATTTACGGAACAAATTACAATAATAAAGAAGACGATTCGGATGTCTCAATAAGAAAATATACAAATATGGGCAACATCCAACAATTGAGGTATTAATAAACAACCAAAAAATTAAAATGGAATATGATACTGGCTCGACAGTAACCATTATTAATAAAATAATATGGAATAAAATCGGAAAGCCAAAACTTAGAAGGGCTAAAGCACCAACTACATATGGAAATAATAGAATAAAAATTATGGGTGAAGCTGATGTAAAAGTACAATTGAATAATAATATAAAATGGCTTCCATTATTAGTCACACAAACAAATGATGCAGCTCTATTTGGATTTCCATGGATTATCGTATTTGATTTAGCGTTACCAAAAAATGTAAAAATCAATATGATCAACAATAGATATAAATACAATGATAATGGTAACGTAAATATTGACAAACTATATAAAGAATTTGCTACGGTGTTTGATAATAAATTAGGATTAATAAAAAATGTCGAACTAGTAAAACTACAATTGGAAGAAAAAACAAAACCAATTGCACTGCCAGCTAGAAGAGTACGAAATTGAAAATGAACTGAAACGTTTGGAAGAAAATAATATAATCAAGAAAATAACAACAAGAGTAACCTGGAGTACTCCAATGGTAGTAGTACGTAAAACTTCAGGCGAACTACGATTATGTGGAGATTTTAAAGTAACGTTAAATAAATTTCTACTAAAAGACTATCACATTCTACCAACGTTTGAAGAATTAATAGCAAAAATAGCGAATGCAAATAAATATACAACATTAGATCTCAAAGATGCATACCTACAAATGAGCATTGACGATGAATCGTAAGAATTATTAACAATGTTAACACCAAATGGATATTACCGCTATTTACGATTACCTTTTGGTATAGCTACAGCACCAATAATATTTCAACGATATATGAACGATTTACTGGCTGATTGTAAAGATACAGCAGTGTATTTAGATGATGTTATAATCACAGGAAAAAATGATACTGAACATATCGAGAATATAAAACAAGTCCTTAAAAAATTACAAAATGCGGGATTAAAAGTAAAAACAAGCGAAATAAATTTTATGAAAGAAAAAGTATCATATTTAGGATACATAATAGATCAAAATGGAATACACCCGGATAAAAATAAAATAATAGCAATACAAAAATATCCAACGCCAAAATATAGACATGACATAAAATCATTTTTAGGTATATTAAACTATTATACACGGTTCATACCAAACTTACATGGAATCATAGCCGAATTACATAATAAAACTAGTAAAAATGTTAAATGGAATTGGACTAAAAAAGATGATGCATTATTTGAAAAAGCAAAAGGAATAGTAACAGAACACAATACTATACAATTTTATAAACCGGATCTTGAGTTAATACTAGAAACAGATGCATCAAACCAAAGATTTGGAGCTGTACTCTTGCAAAAATATGATAATGGCAATGAATACCCAATAGCTTACACCTCGAGAACTTTACAAGATGCTGAAAAGAATTATTCAACAATCGACAAAGAAGCCAAAGCCATAGTAAACGGCGTAGAAAAATTTCATAACTATTTGTATGGACGAAAATTTAAAATACGAACGGACCATAAACCTTTAACAAAAATATATGGGGATAACAGAGATTTAAAGGATTTAACAAACCAAAGATTGTTACGTTGGGCTTATAAATTATCAGCATATGATTATGAAATAATGTATAAGTATGGCGCAAGTAATATAATTGCAGATGCTTTATCGCGAAACCCAATAGAGATAAATGATAATAAAATAACAAGTGAAAATAAAACAGTGAAATATATACGAAATCTTACTTATGACACATTAACTCTATCAAGAAAAGAACTTGCTAAAGATCCAATTTTAAGAAGAGTAAAAATATTATTAAATGGTACAAATACAAAATCAAGCACCAGAATTACAAGCTTTTAGAACAAGAATAGATATATTAGAAAATAATGACGGTATCCTATTTTGGAATGGTCGCTTAATAATTCCATATTCACTACAAAAACGAGTTTTACAGATATTACATACAGGTCATCCCGGTATTACATCGATGAAATCCATTACGAGACATTATATATGGTGGGAAAAATTAGATAAAGATGTCGAAAATTAGTCAACCGCTGTATTGGGTGTCAAAAACATCGCAGAGATATACCAGAAGTTGCCGTATACCCATGGAATCCGCCAGCACAACCCTGGGAAAGGGTACATTTAGATTTTGCCGGACCACTAGACGGATTTTATTGGCTGGTAGGAATCGATGCATATTCAAAATGGATAGAGATCGATAGAATCAAAGATACCACAAGTAAAAATTTAATAAATAGATTAGAAAAATGGCTTACACGATATGGTGTTCCACGTCAAATTGTCACAGACAATGGTCCACAATTCATTTCAAATGAATTTTACAAATGGTGCAAAAATAAGAATATACAACACATAAGAACAACACCATACCATCCGAGAAGTAACGGATTAGTTGAAAGATGCATACAAACTATAAAAAATCGGTATTTTGCTAATAGAGAACAATCAAATGATGGGGAAAAATGCCTTAATGAAGTATTAGTTGCATATAGAAATTCCGAACATTCCTCAACGGGCCGAATACCTGCTAAACTATTTATGGGGAGAAGACTAAATACTTTATTAGACTGGGTGAAACCATCAATTACTGAAAAATTAGAAACCTCTGTAGTAAAACACGATCAGTTAAACAAAGGCATACATAGAGATTTTGGAGAAAACGAATTAGTTTGGATAAAAAATCTACTTAAAAAAGGATGGCATGAAGGAAAAATAATAAATCAACAAGCAAAATTCTCGTATAATGTAGAAGAAAAAGATAAAATAGTACGAAAACACGCAGATCAACTACGAATAAGGGAAGAACCAGACGAAACCAAATCAATAATACCAATTGAACCAAGTCAAAAAGGAAGGCAATCGCGTTATCCAACAAGGGAACGAAAGCCAACAAAAAGATTAATAGATGAACTTGAACTTGGTAATAAAAAGATTGATAGACGATCTTAACTTGGTGGGAAAGAAGATATGTTATATTTGAATGTTTATATATTTTTTAAAAGGTTACGCTATTTGGATTATATATTTCTTACATTTTATATTATCTTATGGAGGTCAATGTAATTGCATATTAGTAGTAGTTAAATGACTTAATTATAAAAGACTATATATAAGAAACAATTTTATAATAAAGAATCTATTGTTTTGACTATAAAATAAATTAGAGATCAAGATTATAAAATAATGATTTAAAGGAAGAATTGGTGTATGATATATGTGTAATGAAATAAATTCCATAGAAAGTGTAAATATAAAGAATTGCCGATTACGAGTTATAAGTATAACGTTGAAAATAATGAGGAACATGTTAAATGCTCCCAGAAAAAAATAAGGTTGGGAAAAAGATTATCCGAGATACAAGTAAATGATAAGAATTTGGATTTGAAAATAGTAGTAGGAAATAAATTACCCTAACAAGTCAATGATAAAAGTTTGAATTGAAAGGATAACAAAATTATCAAAAGTAGGACTGTGGTTAAATTTAAGAGGAAATGGTGCAAACATTACTAAGACTCATTATCCTAAAAGTATTGTTATATTCGCTTGTGATCGACGATTGCTAAATTAATTTGAATATAAATTATATTTTTATATAATTTGTTAGTTTGTGAATATATGATCGACGATTGTAAAATATTAATATGAATATGTAGTCTAGGAATACTTTTTTTTTATGAACTTGAATAGACTTGTAATTTTAATTATTTTTTATGAATACTTGTAATTTTTATTATTTTTATGAATTTTTATAATTTTAATTTTTATATTTTAGTTATGATTATGTAATTACAATATATATTAATTAATAAAGTATTAGTAGTTAATTTATTTATACTATTTATTTGTATTCTCGTTAGTGTTGTTAAACGGCTCGTTTTGAGCCGATTTTTAAAAACCGCTAACTCAATATTTTAGCCAGAAAAATATTGCCTAAACCTCAAGATTTCGATAATATATGTATAGACCTTTGTTCCTTCTATGAGAAAAATCTTCAGGCTTGTGTAATATTTTTTTGGATGAAGTATTGAGTTAGCCGTTTTTAAAAATCGGCTCAAAACGAGCCGTTTAACAACACTAATTCTCGTTAATTCTCAACTACAACATTTGTTACCGAAACATTATGTTCTATGGGCATATTCAGTTTAATTAACTTTTCTTTATTTGACAATGGTGTTGGAGAGAGGGCGACAGGGCAATTACAACTTTTCAGTCTAATGCAAATCAATATATAGGGTGGGACAAGGAGAAGTGTCAAACTGTATTCTAATACAAAAAAAAAATTCCAGAAGAACGTAAGAAAAATATGTAAATAAAAGTGAAAAAGAAAAATTATTTTGATAAGATTATGTTTATGTAGAATATAAAATCTAAAATTAAGAACAAAGAATTATAAAGGTAGCATTCATAGTAGATAAGATATAAAGAAGTTTGTGTTTAGTTATTTAAAGGTGATAATTAGGAATTTTATATTTAGAAGTTACTGGTAAACTAAAAACCATTTGAATTGAAACTTATAGAGACTGATATTTTAGATTTTAGAATTATTATTAATTGATCACTAGAAATAACTATGACAAAGAAAAAGAAACATAAATTGCGAAGGTTGATATTAAACTAATAGTTTGCTAAGATATAATAATTTAAAGATTCAGCGAATAAGATTAGAATATAAATTTATTATTAGGAAATAGTTGATGTTGTAATTAAATTCTTATTGAAGATTTACGTTTAATTTTTATTTTAAGGGCTGCGAGAGATAAAACAGCCTCAAGGATTTGATACGTGAATGTAGTATAATATTAGGTTGTAGATTAACCAAAAATCTTCATAAAGAGAAACGGCTTTCGTCATTAGAAAATTTATGCCGCAAACGAGCTCAATTAGAGATCGGATTTTTATTTTTGAATCAAATAAGATTTTAAGGCAATTAGGCAACGTTATTCTAATAATAGTAAAAAGATAGAGAAATACTAGAAATACTAAAAAGAAATGATAAGATTTATTTTAAATTGTTTTAATCGGTTTTAGATAGAAGAAAATATCGTGCAGAATGAAGAAATAATTTCTTTTAATAATGATATGGATATGAAATACTTCGGAAAAAAAAGTAGGAATTCAGGATGTTTTTAAAAGAAAAATTTTAGTGTAATATACTGATATAAAATTGTGAAATAAAAAGTACGTTTTTTTTAAACAAGTTGTGCTAGAATTAGATCATAATTTTGTGTTTTAAAATTGATGATAGACATAATTGTGAGAATCATAATTTATAAAGGAACAAATTGATGATAGACACATTTATGAGAATGATAATTTCTGATGGAATGAAATTGATGATAGACATAATTATGAGAATCATATTTTCAGATAGAATGAAATTGATGATAGACATAATTATGAGAATCATATTTTCAGATAGAAAAAAATTGAT